GAAGTTCTTCGAGTTTTTTTAAACTGCGATTCCGTAATTAGTCAAGCATTCCTCACTCTGGTAGGGTCTGCACCAATCGCATGAAGAAAGTTGACCCGAAAGACAAAGAATGCTAGTCGAAAAATCCATCGGTTACTCTTGGTGTCTAATTAAAATGTTTTATCTATGCTCGAACACAGCATTACATTCGTGTTTAGGTTTTTGACGATATTTCTTAATGCTCAACAAGAATGCCCAAAGATATTTCACATTTTTTCCATCATTTATTTCTTTACACAAACAGGAATCGCATGTTTTATGGATCTCAACACCTCTTCATTCATTCGCTACGTTGTTTTGAACCCATTAGCCATAAATGTCTTCACATTATCAACATACCTTTGACAAGCACTTGGGGGTCTCGCCGTCTTCATGAACGTCGTTGAATGCTGGTCGTTCTGAATCTCCCTGAAATGGCTACTTCTAATAGAGCGCTCCCAGGTTTTCCTGCAGACAGTCATCTGCTTCTCTTAATCGGAATGAGGTTTTCCCTCAATGTACCACATTTCATGAACCTTGCTGGGATGACAGGAGATTGCACGATGTGTACGCGGCGTTGTAGAACCAGCGACTATGTGTGCATTATAAAGTGCCATATCCAACCGCTGAGGCTCCATCGCCTTGATATTTTACCTAAGAAAGTCGAGCTGGTTTCGACGGTATCCTCTTCATTAGAGCCTATGATACGAGTTGATAGTCCAGAGTTGTTCGTGTTCTCGAGGTAACATCTTCTTGGAGCATCGAGCCGGCTCTTCCTTAGTGGAACATCTCCCTCTCGGATTAGCCATACTCACTCCGCGATGCCCTTTTATACAGGATGGTTCTTATCGATGGCAGCCATTGTACGGTGATATAAATTCATCGATGCTGACACATTTGCAAAGCTCCGGACAGCAGGTGTTTGCGGTGTGGAACGAACGCGCTATTGTCTTTTCCGGGGAGTAACGCGTTCACCACCATACCATGCAGGTCGTTCGCATCGTTCACCATACTGTCTCTCTGCTAGTCCTATCGATCTTTTGCCACCAGCAATCACTTGTCAGCGGGATTGATCTAAGGATCCCAAATTGGCAATGAACCCAGTTTAACTGAGGCTTTAGTTATAACCACAATCTTAACCGTTTTATTTACTGCCTAATCTTTTTAATGGCAGGGTATATTGCGAAATACAACTTCAATGATGCTGAGATTGTGATTATAACTAAAGCCTCAACTTAACTGGGTTCATTGCTTATTTGGACTCCCCAGATCAATCCCACTGACGGGTGATTGCTGATGGCGCTGATCGATGGAACTAGCTGGGAGACAATCGAAGCGAACGCCCTGCATGGTGTGGTGGTGAACGCGTTACTCCCCAGAAAGGATAACAGCGTGTTCGTTCCACACCGCAGATACCTGCGTTCCGGAGTTTTGCAAATATTTCATCATCGTTGAAGTTATATTTCGCAATATACGTTGCCATTAAAAAGAGTAGGTAATAAATAGAACGGTTAAAATTGATAATCGTGATAATTGCAACAGTTGTGATAAGCACTTGTTTTCGCCGGGTAATCCATCCTGCAGAAGTCGGTATCATTATCAGCTAGTACAAAGCGTATCGATAGAAATCACTTATCAGCTTTGTGTAAGCATATCAAAGAAGGATTACATGCGCACAGGACGCACAGACATAACCGGGAAGGTTTTGAAGTAAGGGTTACGGTCCTCGCGCAGGAGTCGAGAATACAAGCGCGCGAAACTCTAGAGGCATTCTGGATTAATTCCAAGAATCCGAAAATGAACCGTAGGGAGGAATGCCTCACTATCACGCATGATATTGGGCAGTATATAAGCCTATCATTCTGAAGAGATGGGCACATTACAATTCTATTTGAACTCTATGCGGTTGATCTCCACGTGACATGTTTAGTGGAAAACTCATAGAAAGCGGTGAGTGTGCAAAGACGCTGTGTTCAATGTGGTTGAAATTTTGGTTCAGCATTTTCTCTGTTTGGTTATGAAGGTGTTTGCCCGTGTTGAGTAGACTGCAGTCAACTTGACCTTTCCAGGCTCTGAGGAAGGCGAAATCCGCCGAAACGTCAGCTTGTGCGTAAATAAAGGAACAAAATAACACCTCGTGTTTGTTAAACAGAAGTAGAGAGAATTACATGCTGATTTGTCATCCTGAAGTTGAAGGAAAGGCGGTTTTGAAATATTAACCGGTTGTTTTAAAATGTTTGGTGTATTATCTTTTCGATGTGAGTCAACAACATCAACAATCATCTAGGAGACTTGAAAGTTTCGCATTTATGAACCGTCTGGAGACCAGCACCACAACTTCTATCTGACATAGTCGTATCCATGTCGTCCCAATAGTCTCCCAAGGCCCAACTTTGAGATTTATAAGCAGTTTTAACCTTACCAATATCTTTCTTCCACAAAAGTGGCAACTACGAATGTAGGTTCACATTTTAAACTATCAGATCGAAATGTAAATCTCCCCAACTTGTACTAAGCTGATAAACGATGAATCTAGTGTATCATAGTTCAACACCTAGGTAAACCGTATTTTCACTGTGAAGTAATAAGCAGTGGATAGGAAACTAAGCTGGCCCCAAAACGAAAGCATTGCTTTCCTCTTCGGCTTACCTTTCAAATCCTCGTCAGTATATAATTCATATCCAGCAGCTTAGTAGAACAAGAGTGGAAGAACCACAGTGTTCAAGTTTAGTGGGATTTCAAAACCTTATCTATTAGGATAGCTATAGTTTTCCTTCTAAGATGATTTTTTATGAGCTTGCTTTAGCCTAAAGCATGGCGTGCTGTTGGTTTATAGATGGGATTTCCGATCTTTTCCGTTTTATTATAACGCTTCAGGATTATTTCCGAGCATTTGTCCGCAATGGGTCAATATATAGCAACTATTGCCAGAATAGTTACTATTCATTCATCATATCGTTTATTTATGTGATCTTATAAACTGGTCTTCTTAAGCTGACGCGAGGTTGGTACAGATCTTCGTTGTCGTTGTTTTTTTTTGATGTTATTGAACGATGGCTAACGTTTCGGCGACTTCGCCTTCCTCAGAGCCGTGATGTTACGTGCGGGACTGGTAAAAAATACAATAGAAAGTCGGCCATGGGAATGATGCAGTAGAATTGGTGTTAAGTTCTCCATTAATACAAACAATATTGTCTAGAATGCTTAAATTTTTATTTACTGCCTATTATTTCTCCTTGGCAAGGTATTACGTCAAATACAACCACAATGTAGTCGAAATGATCATGTTTAGCAATAGCTTCGGCTTAACTGGGTTCAACGCCGATTTGTACTTCCCACATAATCCCCGTTGACGGGTAATTGCTGATGGCGCACCGTTAGGGTAAAACATGTGGCTAAGAGAGAAGCAAAGCAAGGGCCTTGGTGGTGCAAAACGTAACACGTCAACCCTCGGAATGGTTAATCGCGGGCTCGAATCTGGCCTGGATTCCGAATTTTGCAAGTGTCTCGGCATCGTTGGAATGTTAACGTCCGTTGTACATCATGTCTTTGTCATAGTTATTCCATACCCTTTGCGACACATGTTAACACAGCTACGCCACATTGCGAAGACGAACGACTGTGGACCATCGGTTCTGAGAAAGACGGAGACATCAAAACATTCCATCACCAATTTCGCTTTGTTTTGTGAACTTAGAATCTATCCTTTTTTTCCTTTCCTCTAAAAGTGGCAACTATTCCTCAAAGAATTACTATTCTCTACAATATCGCATTTACTTGCAATTATCTCAAATCTGAACCGCAAGGAGGAGTGTCTTGTCATCACGCGTGACCTAGCGCCATACCTCAGGCTGATCCAATGATCTGACATGGACCCAGTTATCGACCATGTATTACTCTGTGCGGCGGCTATCCACCAACTAACTTAAATACTTACGACAAATAAACGGTAGGTGTTTGAATGAAGCTGTTTCTTATGCGAACACAAATCGATTTATCAAGTTTTATCTGCTAGGGTTATGAAAGTGTTTGGCTGAGTAGATCGCATCTCAATTTGACCTTTCCAGGCTCTGAAGAAGGCGAAACCGCCGAAACGTCAGCAATTGTGTTCTAATAAATTCTATATTAACAACCTCGTGTCTGCTTATTGATGAAAAACATTGAATTATCTCAAATCTGTCCATACATACCGTATAAGTCTTTGTACCGTTTCTACATATACTTCCCGTAAAACCCTTTGTACCAGCTATTCTGTCTCTTTCACATGGATTTTTTGCATGGCCCTTGTGTAGCCTTTCAGATGAACTCTCCGCACGGTCAATTGCGCGCTTTTACATGTATTTTTTCCGTATAAGCTATTGTATAGACTTCACGAAACTTTTGTGCAAGTAGCTGTATCAGATTGTACTAGCTGAAAACTCTTAGAAACTCTCTCTGAGCAATGTCTCTATTCTCTTCTGTAAAAACCCCACTCATTACAGAAGGTAGTTAGTAGCCCTATCCCAGACATCGTGTGTGTGTGTGTGTGTGTTCATGTGTTCATGTGTTCATGTGTTCACCTCACTGGATACCATCACATTCTTACTAGTGTGTTGTTATTACTTCTATAAACTGTTTTAACCCAAACTCGAGGATGTCCACAGCAGTTACGGAAAAAGTTCTGCGTGGCGAACTCATGCAGTGTCGAGTATTCAAACTACAATTGGCAAATAGAGAACAAATCCGACCAACTACTACTCTACATTCCACTGGCTAACTAGCACACTAAAGGAAAATACAACAGTAAGGAGTCAGATTTAGGAATACTGCAATTTATTGGGAGACACATGAATAACAGTCAGCTATCAACTATAATTAGCCAAATATCCACAACTACACAATATATTATTGTAAGATCAGGAATTCAAAAGCTATAAATTTCCTGAGCGGCATCTACAAATTGCCTACTCTGACCAACGAAACAATTTAGGCTTCAAGATTCATTAGTCCAGACTATACTCGGTCATTTGTTGAGATACCTTGGAGTACTTCTTCAATGCGAAATCCAAATCTTCTGCTTCAATTGGTTGTCTGTTTTTCAAGCTTCCCCCATGTTCTAGTGTTGCTTTCGCTCGTGACAGCACTGCAAGACGACATACCTGCAACAGTAATAGTATAAAAAGAGATGAAGTTCTCGGCGTTGATCAATCCGTGAGGGATGCGCCATGCATTCGACTTCACTCATCATCATTGGAGGTGAATGAATACATACCTGCCCTTTACAATGACTCGCGTGGCCCACCGATGTAGCTAGCCAGTGCTGCTATCCTCCCAAACACGTCTGTTACCAATTTCCTGACTCCCGAGCGATGGAGAGCTTGGTGAGCACTAGGTTCGGCGATCGATTCCATGTGCATTGCATTGCGCCTCCCACCACTGCGCCACATGCACCCCTTCTAATCGTACTGCACAAAGAGCTGGATATTTTGGTGGCCTCTCTTAACGATGAATCGCGCCTCAGCACATTTCCCCATCGCCTCTTTCACTCGCGGTACCATAAACACGTTCATACACGTTATAAGTAGATGCCAAAGAGGATAACCACATTGTCTCGGTATCCACTCTACTGTTTTTTTACGTTGCTTTATCGTTGACTATTCTCAATGGATGACCGGCGTAACAATGCCCCACTTTCGCTGTGTATTTTTCCCATGGATCGTTCGTTCTGTTCCTTCCATCCAGTCTATTCAATTATCCATTTGATAGAAGAACTGCATTTCCGTAATGTAGTTGTGGTGGCAGACGGTCAGAGTTTCTACATAGCAGAGGTCCACTCGGTCCACAAGCGCTGATGGACTGGCACCTCTTCAACGCTGTTGCACGCTGTAGACAAAAGCAAAAGACATGTTGACTCCGCGTGAATCAACGGCTTTCATAGACGTCGTAAACAACAGGAGCGTCTATCGCGTGGGAATACAGACACTGAGCTAGTCCCGGTTGACAAAACCTATTTTTTCTCCTGAGGTCGCCAGGTAGCCTTTCTGGAGTGTTCTGATTTGACCACCACAGGCTTTTGCTGGTCGTTGTGGATGGAGTGAATATTGCCATATGACGGCTAACGTAAACTGAATAAACTATATGAACCAAAGGAACGAGAAGATGAAATAAATCACTACGACATATACAGCTATAAATCTAACTTCTTTAAGATCAGATCCCGACAGTCCATTCGCCATTAAAGCAATCCTTTTCAGGTCGACAGATTCAGAAACGGTTTCGTTGCGTAGAATAACCTTCAGAAGACAGGGTTTATAAATGTAACATTATTGCTTGAATATAACCTAAAAAAGAGATTGAGATTTAGAAGTATAATTGTTTGAGTGCCTTAAGAATTTCTTCTCTTTGCTGTTCATTGGGAACTGGTATAGCAAATCGAGCAGACATTCGACGTAGAATCGCAGGATCTACATCTTGAGGTCGATTTGTGGCACCCATGACAATTATCTAAAAACGGTATTGTGTTCAAAAACACCTATCGATGCAGTCAAAAACAAACTAAGGAGGAACAAAACACCGTATAAATGCTAAAAATTGGCATTTGCGTCATATTATTGAGCAAGGAGGATACACAGACCACGTGCAGTCAGGCTTATCAACAAAGATATCATTTTTAAAGAATGACGTGATATTTAGAAACGTTTTCTCAGCAAAAAAAAATGCAGGAAGAAGTGACCTTATCATTGGTGGAGGCAAAGCCATCCCATAACGTCATAAACTGTGCTTTCATCATTGCAGTAGCTTCATGGTCATAGGATTGGCGATCGCGAAGAAAAGAGTCTAAATTACCATCACGAGTTATCCTCATGCTTTTAACTGCTTAAATAATTAAAGCACATAGTCCTTCTCACTAGTGAGCAGACGAATAGTTATTAAAGATGCAAACAAACCGATTTCATCAATGAAAATAATGGTAGGTTGGAACTTCTGAGCTACTGAAAATACTGCCGCTGCCAGTTTTTGCGATTCACCGTACCACTTATCTGTGAGACTGGACACTTGTAAATTGATGAATCTGAAACGGCCCTATTGAAAGCGATACCAAAATTCGGATCTGAAAAGCTGTTGCCCATCGAAGACTTGGACAAAAATGTGAGTTATAAGGGGCAAAACAGACCATACAAGAACACTGCCTTCTTTGAAATTGTCAGCAAAGCTGCAAGGCAACAAACAGGCTTGGTAACAATGAACTCATATGAAGGGATAGAAGAAACACTACTATATTGTCCAATGCGCCTAACACAACCCTTTCCGGTAACTTTTGAAGATTGTAAGTCATCTCATCAGAAGTTATTAGAACAAGGAGAAGCTCTTCTTTGAAACAAGCAACCAAAAGGGTGTCGTATTTTACACACTTAGGGAAGGCTAGCAGGGTAGTTAGCAAGGTAGGCATAGATTTCTTACACCATGGTATAGTGAACGCGTGGAAGACATATTGTGGTCTCGTAGAATTGATTCTGCTAGAATAACTTGTCTAATAAAGTTTCATGACAAATCACAAAATATTTGAAAAACTGTTTTGCTCAAACCACACCTAGTGCAACATCTGCGGCAGGCGAGTAGAGAGAAATTTGGTACAAAATGTGCTATAAAGTCCCCGCATGACAAAAAGAACAATGAAGAATAATATGCATTAAAATCAATGCTTGCGAATATGTTGTAGTCACCTGCAACCAGCAGCGCGGGCTACGGCTTTTGCTACCAATGTTTTACCACATCCAGGTGGACCGTAAAGAAGAATTCCTCAAATAGTAATGTGATTGACACTGAGTATTTTTGTCCGAAATTCGGTTTAAGCTAAGCATTTCTCAAATCTGTGTAGCGCAAGTGCCTAAAAATTATAAGAATTCCATAAAATATTACGTAAAGAAACGTAACCGGAAAGCACAGCGAACCTTTTGGTGGACTGAGCAGTGGACAATCTGCTTCATTAGCTATTTGCAGAGGCAGGATGATCCGATCTTTCAAATCTGCGATTAGTTCATCACATCCTCCTGTAATCACTAATTACGATATGTGTAAAACAAAAGAATGTGATAGAACTGAAGAACGAAACTCAACCGTAGCGGCACGAAAGCCTAACTGATGCTAGTTACTCCAAAGTTAGTGAAGAACAAAAAAAAACTAAAGCAAACAGAAGAACACTTTCTTACATGAAAACCACAACGATGGTGAGCAAAACTCGGAATCCCAGGTGGGTTCCCTAACCTATGTTATCCTTTCCGGGAGCTCACGTGTTATCCACCGCCCCAACGAAGGCCCTTACTTTTCCTTTTTTCAGTTAGTCTTTTTGCTTCTGCGGTGCTATGAGCAATCATCCGTCTACAGAACTGCTGGTTCAGCTTAACTGGGTTCACACCTGTCTTATGCGCTCCATTCTCCGATCATGCTCGATGACGAATGATTTCTAATTGTACTACTAGTGTGAAAAACTTGCTCACTGAAGGGCAAAGCATAGGTCTTGGCTGGTGTGGTAGATTGCACGTGAGGTCCTGGAATGGGTTATCGCGGTTTGGAAGCCCAACTGAAGCCCCGAACTTTGGTCAAATCTCAACATTATTGTGGCTGTATTTCAGACAACACCTTGCCATAAAAAAAAATGAGTGGTAAGTTAAAAATTTAAGCATTGTGTCCCTACATAGACCAAAAAGGGAAGGTTCCATACAAAATTTCGCAAGGAGAATTATTTTGCTTCAACAGAATTACTTAACAACTACAAAGTAAAACGTGTTAGGTTCAAATGTAAAAGTAAAGCATGAACACATAGAATGTAGCCTAAGTGAGTTAAACTAACCAATATCACTCCATTCAGCACCAGAATCTTTCCCGCCGACAAACTGCGTTGCGATTCGCAATTCGTGTTCATTTAGCACAAGCTTCTCACGAATCCCTAATTCTCGAAAAAGTTGCTCTACCTAAAGCAGTATTGGCTTAAAAGTCTGGTATAGAGATGCAAGAAAATGGGTACCGCAACCTAGGCCTCTTACTCGCTTTCGGTTCTCCTCACGAGACGCATGATGTGGATCAAGAAGTTTCACCATATAACGAACAGTTAGGAAGGATATAGCTGCAGCTGCAGCGAGTCGAATGCATAACGAGATCACCTCTGTTCGGTCTGACATACAACTGAAGTGAAATACAAAACGAATTGTAATTTTTCAAACACTACATAGCACCTAAACAACAAGATGTCGTATTTCTAGATATCAATCAGACGAGAGGAAGAAACCATAACAGGGAATAAACACGAATTGTAAGGAAACTCAATTTCCTTAACATCACAGGAAGGTAGCACACTGGTTCCAAAGTGCTATTTCGTTTCGCTAGTTCAATATTCGTTATCACTCATGCCTGCCAACCCACACTGTCCACGTCGACGTAGTGGTTTCATTTAATGGGAACGGAATTATAACCTTAGATGGTCCTTAATAGTTGAGACAAACACTGTAATCATGTACTGAGAAAAGTACTGAAACACGGTGTTGGAGTTGCACAAACTTATCTTCCAAACTAAAAGCTTTTCTGCCATGTGGCACAGTAGATTCCTCTAAATTTACCCTCTCCACAAATCGTTCCAAGTGATCATTCCAACAGACCACCGTCAACATACAACAACTTTCATGAACGTAATTTAGATTTTACCCATTCATGAAATAAACACAAGTTGCGACAGTGTGCCTTAATCATCTTTTAACCAGATTCATAAGTTCTCAGATAAGTCTAGAATGTAAGTCTGCTTGCGGAGATGATGGCGCCCGTTCGATCCCGCTCCGGGATCACCAAGCCTCTCATCGCTCCGGAGTCAGGAAATTAATACCGGACTTGTCAGAAAAAAAATCACTCTCTGCAATTTAATTAGGAAGCCCGGTTATCTCAGCACTCCAGTGAGAATCAACTCGACCAGCGCTGATCATTTATAATGAAGTGAAAATCCTGAAGCAGTTGCCTACGCCATAAGTAAAAGTTGTAAGACCTTCGTGGACAATGGATGCGAGGAAACGAATCGAATGTGAGAGGTGCTGGAATCTGCACAGCAGACGTGAAGATGGAACGTATAAGATAAAATGAAAAAAGTATTCGGAACGCATCTTACCGCGTTGCGTTCCTCCAAGTATAAACGCTGCACACAACGGAATACCCTCCATATTCACAGTTTCAATCAAATCAACTTCGTGTCGAATAAGGTAAATTAGGTTCTTAGATGCGAGACTCCGCTCCGCTGGTCTCTCTAGGTAATTCTCCGGTAGAATCTTTGTAAGGCAGCTCGGGTGATTAAAAAACATTATTAATTTAAACGGAGGTCCCTCATATAAGGGATCTCGAGCCAGTTAGTCGCCAGGCTACGTGGCGCGTCCCCAGGTGGCGAATAGGGGGTTAATCACGGATGAAATCAACCTTGTTTCCTTGAGAAACAGGTGGATCAAGTGGACGCACTCCCTGTTTCAGCTGCTCCGATTGTGCAAATACTTTCTGTATATAGGAGGCATGTTCATGCATGCGTTTGTGGGTGCATTCTCGCTTATGCGGATTGTATTCTACGAGCCAATTCGGCCAAAAGCCTGCAATCAAGCCACTAGGAAGTATATGCGAGACGGTTAGGAGTCGCCTCCAACAAATAAGCTCCACGTCCATCCACTCTGGGAGAGAATGACAAGCTACCCGTGAGTATACCCAGCTCACGTGCAGAACCCAGCAAGTTATATGTGGGTATCAAAATGCTAAACACAGTGAAAGAAACGGGCCTCATTCCCCTGACCTCAAAAGCTCCGATTCATTAGCGTTGGGTAGGACTACTACGGAAAAGCTGCTAAAATCTCAGCGCCATTCTATGCTGTCTAAATCTCAACGAACCAAGGTGACGATCTATACCTACAATGCATGCACGCTTGCATCCAAGTTCTCAAGAGAAGATTTGTTCATGCAAGCAAGAAGGATAAAGTACGACGCCATCGACCTGGCCGAGACGAGAAAACGCCGGCCTTTCAATGCCGTCTATGACACCGGAGAACTGTTCCTCGGAACATGTGACAATAGAGAAGTCTGCGGCGTCGGCGTTCTGGTCAACACAACTTTGTCCATGAACATTGATTCATTCGAACAACTTACAATCTGAATCGGACGTTTACGATTAAAAAGACGTGGATCAATTCTGGCTCTGACAATGTTCGTCGTATACGCGCCGACATCAAACTATGACGAAGAAGAAGTCGAAGCGTTCAATATGAACTTGCAGAAGTGATACAGAGAAGACCATACATTCTTCAAGGTCATCATTAGAGATTTCAACGCCAAAACTGGGCCAAGAGGAACGTCTGAAGAACGACACATTAGGACCCACAGATTAGAATGGAACGAACAGGGTGATCGCCTCTCTGCGTTTATCATTACGACCAAGACCTTCTATGGTAACCTGCAATTTCAGAAGCCCCATCCTCAACGCCGGACGTGGGAGTATCCCAATGGAGAACACCATAACGAAATAGACCACATCATAGTAAATAAGTTTTGCCTAACCGATGTCGCTGTTGTCTCAAAACTCTACAGCGGATCAGAACACTGTCTCCTTCGCGCAAGATCCTATTTCTCGCAGAAATGAGAAAAGGCTTCTAAATTCCAAAACCGAAGTCCCAGAACCACCGCAAACTGGGACTTACTCAATTTCATTCATCGGATGTTGGGAAGATGCCGTTGTCGATACCATCGAAGAGGCATACGATTGGCTCATCCAACACCTTCACATTAACGCTATGAAAGCTGAGAGTTCGAAAGTCATCAACAGACGTCTGCCTCCAGAAACACTCGAGCTGATACGCCAGCGTGGAATCGCACGAGCTGTAGGCAACCGCGAACCAACGTTGGAACTTGCAAAACAATGCAGACAGGCGATAAAAGAAGACTTTAAAAATAGAAGAGCAACAGTAATGGTCTAAGCTGCAGAGGCTGGGAAAAGCATTCGCGAAACTCGCCAAAGTTTCGCCAATTACAAGACCAAGATGATTGCACTCCGACGCCCAAACGGAACAGGTACGCGTCCAGAAAGCCAATGGAGGAAATCATTCACGAATACTACTCGCATCTCTTTGATAGCCACGTACACCTTCTTTCATATGAAATAGAGTATGGATATGTTGTACCACCGGTTCTCCCTTCCTAAATCCAACATGCCATTTAGTCGGTAAGAAATCGAACAGCTCCAGCTCGGGACAGGGTGGAATCTGGACACTTGAATAACCTTCCGCCAGTCCTCGTAAACACACTGTCTCGACTGTCCACATGTTACGTGTTTGAATGCAAGATCTCCACTCAATGGAAGACCAGCAAGACTGCGCTAATGTTGAAGCAGAGTGACCTCCATGATGTCGGCAACTATCGCCCAATCTGCTTTCTGTTTATCGTCTACAAACTTTTCACTCGAGTCATCCTAAAGAGGATTGACTAAACACTAGAAGAAGGACAGCCTTTTGAGCAAGCAGGGTTTCGAAAAGGATTTAGTACGATGGACTACATCCACACGGTAATTCGGCTCATTGAAGTATCGCGAGAGTAAAAAAGACCACTCTGTCTCACTTTTATGGATTCATAGAGCTTTAACTCAACTGAGATAGAAGCAGTCATTGAAGCCCTTGATAGTCAGGGAACCCCTGCTCAGTATGTAAAGATTCTTCGTGAGTTGTACAAAAATTTCACAGCCAAGATACCACCATTTTACAACGATATTAACGTTGACGTCAAAAGAGGAGTGAGGCAAGGTGATACAGTCTCACCAAAATTATTTACCGCCATCCTCCACGACGTCATGCGAACATTGGAATAGGATAATCACCTGTATCACCTGTAGTCGCGTTCGTTGTCGAGTGACTTGGGCGGGAGCCAGTAAATCTTCCATTTTTCCCTGTCGCGTGCAGTAGTAGCCCAGTGGGTTCTGCTCACTCTAGGGACTCGTCGAGCATCATATCTTTCTTGCAATGTTTTCATGAAGAACACCAACCATCGGGTGAGCGGTCTTCCTGCTGTACGTTTGACATCGCGAGGAATTCAATCAATAACAGCTCTTGTCCATCGGTTACCATTCACACGCATTACATGTTCAGCCTAATTACACCATTTTCGCTTTACTGATGACATGGTCCATATAATACCAAACATTAACTAAGCGGAATGAATGCTGGCCGACTTTGATAAAGCCTGCGGAAAGATTGGTCTTCGACTAAATTTCACAAAAACGATATTCATGAAGAACGGATTGGTTTCGCATGCCCTATTCACGCTCAACGGAACGAATATCTCTGAGTGATCCAGTTATATCTATGTAGGTCGGGAAATCAATATGATGAACGACCTAGCTCCAGAGCTGAGCAGAAGAAAACGAGCGGCTTGGGGAGCTTTCAAGAGCATCGAGAATGTAGCGAAGAGAACAAAGAACACCCACCCCGTGCCCACCTTTTAGACTCAACGATACTTCTTCCTTTTTTGTATGCGTCAGAAACTTGGTTGTTGTGTATGCAAGATGGAGGAGCACTGAGCGTTATTGGTCGCACAGTCGGAACGGACAAGAACAGTCAGTCGCTGGATTCCTCGGGATGTTGAACATAGTGCAGAAAATCCACCTAATGGTCAGAATCCTTCACAAAAGCCTAGAAGAAAGATAGGATGCTCAACGAGTCCCTAATGCGAGCCAAACTCACCGAGATACTCCTGCACTCGACAGGGAAAAGTGGAAGATTTACTGGCGCCCCTCAAGTCACTTGACGATCAACTGGACTACAGGTGATACAGTGATTAATTTCGGAACCTGCGGCGTGGATCGAACATTGTCGTTACTCTTTCCGGCGGCTAACATGTTCAAAACCACACCATGCGTTCACTTCGTTTTCCTTTCCCCAACCGTGTTCTATAGACGCTATCAGTAATTAATTCCATAACAACCATACTGCATAGCATACTCGACATTCGAACACCTTCCTTGTGTCTAAAAGAGTATCACAACCATACCTTCATAATCTACTCAACTGTAGAGTTGGGTAAAACCTCAGCGTTTGTTCAACATCGAAGATAATCCATTTACGCTCGTGCTCCTCACACAAGCCTCCATTGCACCCGACTATGCTAAACATCCTATCGGAACTCTACACTTCACTTACGCTAGACTATTTTCGCCTAAGGATTTTCTAATTACAGTCTCCTATATCTCAAAAAGTGTTCATGTCAACACCTATAATAAATCGAGTCCTGGGTGCATGATTCGAAATGTTCGATGATGGTTCCTAGGACATAATTCCAGTGAAGCATGTGTTGCCGTATTATGTAAAGTGACGGTATTACGGAAGTACTCAGAGGACTGGAAAAACACATTCCTAGTCACTCATGATAGATTTGCACGCTATGTACAGTATCCTTCATAGTAAATAGAGGATAAAGACCTCGCCGTTGATCAATCCCTGGGGGATGCCCATGCCTCCGAATTCATTCACTTCTTCATCGATCCATTCTTCATAATACCATCCCATTTCTTCCACTACGAATCCCTTCCAATCTCCAATCTAGCAATGCCCTATCACTGCACATTTACTAAGCAATCCGCAAAACCAATTTTCTTCGTTGTCACGAATATAAGAGAAAGAAAAATTAGCAAGGATCTGAGCTTGAACGGCAATATAACTTTTTATCAACGAAAACAAATAGGTACATCGAAATGGGAGAGCCCATAAAGAACACGGCCTTCAACACCAACAAATTTATCATTAGCAGTAAAGAGCAACAATAACAATTAACTCAGCTTGTACGCACGGACACCTGCCACACACGTATCACATTATCGGTGTATCCAGCATAAAGAGTCTGCCCATCTTGAGACCAAGCCAGTGAGACACACTGTGGAGCGGTCGTGCTCTTTCCTGTGATCTCGGGCTTCAGTTCTTCAATTTCACGCTTGTCTTCCAGATCCCAAATCTTGATGACCGGACCAACGGCAGCACAAAGCCAGTATCGGTTTGGTGAGAAGGCCATAGCGTGGATAACATCATTACCATTGAGAGTATATAGGTGCTTGCCCTCGTTCAGATCCCACAGCATAGCCTGTCCGTCCTTGCCACCGGACGCACATAGTGATCCATCAGGGGAAACTGTCACAGTACTAACATAACCGGTATGTCCTATGTGATTGGTCTTCAGGCGACAGTTTCCAAGATTCCACACCTTTACGATCTTATCCCAACCAGCTGAAACAATCACAGGATCACGAAGTGATGGCGAGAACCTGACAGTGGACACCCAGTCAGTGTGACAATCCTCCTAAAAAGATTCAAGCTATTTCAAGTCCATGCTGAACGAACAGTACATCGTCTGACAACAAGGAAATCCGATGTGGCAAAACACATAAACGAACTGTAATGGTATATTTGCACTGAGCTAGGGTGTTCCACAGTTTGATGGTGCGATCCCTCGAACCGGACACGATTTGGCGGTTATCACCAGAAAATGCAACGGAAAGTACATCTTTCGTATGGGAAGAAAACTGGCGAGTAGATTGACCACTGAAACCTGTCATAAATAGCTTTCGAAACATCACTGTATATTACTTTATAGGAAACAATTCAAATGCATAAACAACTCAAACCCAAAAAATTAATAGAATTACTACGCCACCTAATTTTAGACCACCTAGTTGGCTAGTAAAATAATTTACTTGCAGAAAAACTTTCTTCTATCGCTCTAGGATTACATAGAATTTCCTTGTCACTTATTTGTCTTTTCCTAAACTTGTTTACAGAAATGGTTCCAAAAAACTGGTCCAGAAGCTGGTGAGAAAAACTAGTGACATTTTCATAAATTTTAAAACAACCGCAGCTGCCGAGAACTTTAGTGTAACATTAGCAAACACAGTTACATCCATATGTTGTTATCAATGATATATGAGTTATAACGAATTTTACTTAATTTGCTGGGTGATTGCTGATGGCAATGGTAGACAGAAAACGATGATAGACAGGCGAAAGAAAGGATCCACATGGTGTGTTGGTGAACGCGTTAGTCCCCCGGAAAGAGCAACAGCGCGTTCGTTCTAACCGCAGACATCTGCTGTCTGGAGTTTTGCAAACATCTCAGTATCATTACGATTGTATTTCACATAATACCCTGCCATAAAAAATGCAGTAAGGAGAAAATAAAAAGTTAAAATTGTGACTTCAATTAACACAATTTGTGTGAGCTAGATGCCTTTAAAGTTGGAAGTCACGATTACTTTTGCTAGTCATTTCATATTGGACGATATGCCTGCCATATGCTCTCTTCCGTATAAGTTGAAATCGATCTTCAAAATCGAAAAAAAATTCATCAAATCCAAATCCACCAAAAAAATCGACGTTCAAAATGACATAGGTGAGACTTTGCAAAAAATAAGAAAACGAAACCTTGGCTCCACGCGTTCAATATCAAAAAGGTCAATTTGCCCTTAACATTTCAACACTATACAATTTCATCCACGCATTAATAACAAAGAAGTACAAGTATGAAAACACCAGTCAAACCGACCTTCCCCCTAAAAGAAAGTTCCTCACTATCACTGAAGCTTACCAATGAAGTAAGGTACATTGATCCTCATTACGCTTCTTGTACCTTGTCCATCACTTATATCCTTCCTACGTCTATAACAGAATCAAAGCCTAGTCCGGAGCAAGATTGTCCCCTGTAACTCTTCTATATACTGTTCCAAAACGAAGCACTTTACATTTTCAAAAACATATGAGCAAAACTCTACGGCAGAAATTCACTTTTAGGGTATCTCCTTCAAGACTTCTATGTGGAACAAGACAGCTTTCATGCCAATAAAGAAATTTTTAATGTTGTAGGACTACCTTGCTCCTGCAGAACATTACTCGACTATTGGTTAAAACAGTGTACTTCGCCACTACCAACAACAACATTAATTTTTTTATAAGCTACACTAAAACAAGTCTGGTTTTTGCCTTCTTCTCTTTCCATCTGTCATTTCCACAATTTTTGAATGGAACTGTTTGAAAATAGCAAGGTGTTTTAAGTCATAAATTGTAGAGAATGGCATTTCTGGTGTATGTTATCACTTGGCTAAAGAATGAATATACATAGTTCGGTAAAGAAAAATATGGAGCGCATTAAACTTAAAATGAACAGCCTAGTGTCCATACCCTACCCTGTTCATACAGACATCTTTAAATCGAGCAGAAGTACCATTTACAAAAATAACCAAGCTCTTGGACCAAACTGTTGTAACGGAAGCGCGCAACGTGGTCCCAATGTGTACTTATACTTGAATAGTCTGCATTATACTGCTATTCAACTGATCCACAATTTCATAGGTATTACTAAAAAGTCCACGTATATGGTGGATGATATCTCTTCCGATAGCGTTTAGAACAACTTACGTTGTGAGATCCCACAGACGAAGAGTTTTGTCCCACGAGCCGGAAAGGGCGAACTGGCCATCCGAGGAGATAGCGACGTCAGAGACGAAATGATTGTGTCCCGTCAGCGCTTTAACAGGACGACCAATAGCGTCGATATCGATGACAAAGTTGTCTACGTCCCAAAGGATGATTGTGCGATCTGAAGGGGCCACAAACTATACTATGGAACAAACAAGGTTCTTCACTAAGACTACTCACCTCTAGATGATGAAATTACGGTGTTCTTGTCGTTGCGAGTGAACGTAGCGATCTGAGTGACCCATCCATTGTGGCCCTCAAGGGTGCCCTTCAGCTGCATTTGTTCGACCACCATATTGACCCTGCTGGATACAACCTTAACGAATACTTCATTTCCTAACTAACAGTAAAATGTAACAAAATCGCTGGATTTCTCGATGAGTACTTAACGGATTTAGGAAGTATGGTAATCTTGACATGTTAACTTCCAGCCGACAAAGGAAAAATCCGTCCTATGACATAAAAAGCCAGTAATCGGACATTTCAGAGAAGCAGTAGAGAACAACGCATTCCACGGAAATACAACCATCCAAGAAAGGATGCCCTTAATTGCTTAGAAAAGGACTCGAAGTGCTGAGCAGGTCCCTAAATTGAAGGAAATCTGCAGCAGCGTAAAGTATTCCGCGCAGGACCCAACCTTTCAATTTTCTCTCGCCCTTTAAGATTGAATTCTCACTAAGAAATCCTTTTGACTCGTCTTTACATCTTGACGTTAAATAGTAGGGGATTTCAAATGTTGCCCATGGTTTCATGCATTGTAATGAACTCTGATTTGTTTTCTTACTGATATAACTCATATTCCGCACGAAAATTTCATTTAATGGTTCTGTTTTTCAAAGATTGTAAAGTTCTAGCTGTAAATAGGTTAAAAACGAATTGATTGCTTGTTTATGAAGTATCTAGTTGGATACTGTATGATCTTTTCATTGTTTTTTTTCTTTATTCGTTGATACAAGTACTATTCTGTACTGGTCCTCACAACGGTTTACCGCCTCGTCGTAACTGGGAGGTGTTCCTGGGTGTCGGACTGCGATGTACAACAAGGGGATTCGTCCCCCCGGCCGTCTTCCAAGCTGAGAAGGAGTCCGGCATTTCTATCAGGAAGCCTAGCTAAGAGGAAACCAATACCAGGATCAACCACCGTCCTGGTATCAGTCGCGTGGTGGCAAATATCCCTCTGTTCCACAAGGGTTGCGATTACCTGTCGTGGTGACGACCGGGCGCAGACTTTGGCCAGGCTGACCTCGGGATTCCAAGGAACCACGATGGCTTAACCAGCAAGTCTCCGAAAAATGGTGATTATGCTGGTGTCCGCATAACTAGTGAGGACGGGCCGTTCAAGTATTCAAGTAAGTATTCTGTACTGGTATTGGTCGGTTTCGAACCGCTGACCTTGTCTGTGTTGGAAATATTAGTGTCGGTCGGACTATTCTGTATGGTTAAGGTTTTGCATTTCTCGTTATTCTCCTGCCTTATTTCATACTGTTTCAACCCTACTAACTGCCTTTACCTTGCTGATTCGAGCCACGGAATAGCCATTTGTATTTTCGCTAACTTGATTTGATAGACAAATTTATGCAGTAAAGTGCCTACCTGACGTGGCGGTTTCTTAACTACGTCATTATCCTCGCGTTCTAAGGGCAGTTGCTCTAAACTGTTTTGAAAAGTATGAAGTAACTAATCGGTGATCTTCAGATTGGCCGGTAACTTTAACCAACACTTCATAGAATTTGGTCGAACACTTGATCGAAACAACCTAAACGAAGGTCCCACAAAGTATGGAGGTGAACATGTTAGCCACAAGAAAAGGTAATAGCGTGTTCGATCCCCACCGCAGTCACCTGTCCGGAGTTTTGCAAGTATCTCAGCATCATTATACTTGTTCGAATTGTTTGGCAGCACTCATCAGTTTATCTCCATGGATTTTATGGGAACATCCGGAATTACAGAGTATGATAATGTTGTAGTATCGTTCATAGTATTCGTTTGACCATTTATCGTAGTGTTTATTAAATTTAGCTAGAGAAGCGGCCAAACTAAATACACTAGATGGTTGTCAGCGCGAACCTTATGAATGCCTTACTGACCTCGTTAGACAAACAAAGGATCTCTGGAATTTGACTCTATCGAAGAGCGACCGTAAACGGCGTCTTTCTACTTTTACTTTCTCCTTGAACAATTTTTCGTTTAAGAATATTCAAGTTGTCTGCTTTTGCTGGATTATACTACATTGTTGCGCCAATTTTTGAAATGAGGTATGACCTCTTCATCTATACCTGTATACGTAGGTGTCCCATCTTCACTGGTTGTGCGGGCCCGAGCATAACTTGCATCGTTTCGGGGTCTTGTTGGTTTAGCCATTGCTGTTCCCCGGAGTCTCGAGGTCAGCCTAGCCAGTCTTCCTCAGGTCGTCACCACCACAGGCAGTCGCCGCCTTTGTGGATCCGAAGGAGATTTGCCACCATGCGACTAGTTTGAAAACAGAACGGTGGAGGATCCTACTATAGGTTTACTCTTAGCTGGGCTTCCTGTTTGAATAGCCGGTTTCCTCCTCAGCTTGGGAGACTTTGCTAGGAGGAGGGGATGAATTCTCACGCTGTGCATCGCAACCCAACACCCAGAAACACCTTACAGCCACGTTGAGACGGTAAACCGTTCGAAGGCCCTTGTGTCTATAATGTCAGGATTTTCTTTGGTGTTCAACTTTTTATTTACTTCCTATTATTATTATTTTCACGGTGAGGTATGATGTGAGATACAACCTTTATGAGGCTGAGATATTCTCAAAACTATCGATTTGATCTGGCTTGGGTGGAGGTTTTTCAAAAATCTCAGCTTCATAGTGGTTGTATTTCTCTAGTGCGTTCATCATTTGGAAATGGATAGAAAGCATAAATTTAGAAATATTTAGTTAATTAATACAAAATATCGGTCGAAGGTTGACTTTTGATGGACAAGATGTTTTTGTTTGTGTAAGCGTTCAGTGACGTGACGGAGCGCTGCTAATTCGCGTGTTTCGCACTATCGATTGAACGTTGTTGGTCCGTGTGACCAGTCCAAGACGCAAGGCCACCACCGCCACGAACTCGGCGTCCAGTTCGACCTCAAAAACTCGATGGACCAGGGCCATTTCCTGATTAGCGTGAAGTGCTGTTATAAGTACGGCTTGCAAAGTATCGTATAACTTTTTCGTTTTAAAATTTGTATTTGTAGCTACTTTTGGCCGTGTTTGTTAGTTCTTCGCACGAATGCAGTTGTATTTCTTGTACGTGTTCTGTTGAAATTGCGCCGTAGTAGTCTCAATACTTGACTGTCTTTTAAAACTATCTTGCTAAGTGCAGTGATGCTGAAATATTTACAAAACTTGGAACTCAAGCTAGATTCGAACCTGTCATTACCCTTTCCAGGAACACATATGTTACCCACTGCACCATTGACGACCTTTGCTTTGTCTCAACCAGTCTTTTACCCTAACAGTGCCATTAGCAATCATCCGTCAGTGGGATTGTTCCGAGGAGCACAAATTGGCATAGAACCGAGTTAAGCTGAAGCTGTTGTTGAAATTACAATGTTTAACGTTATATTTACTGTCTACTTTTAGTATCTTGCTAGCTATTTTGTCTTCGTTCACGCCTAATCTTTCGTACACTTAAGGAGGCAGACTTGGAAATTTTTCCAATTTGGAGTTCGTAATTACGTTTTCGGTGTTCTATGAAATTTAATGACTGACCTAAAATTTATGAATTAATTTCTTGATTCTTTTATTTTCAATTCCAACTTTTCTTTTTTAATTTAGTAGTTTGGTGTTGTGAATACGTGGCTGAGACCAGTATTCCAACAGAAACTTGAGTGTTTCGTTCTCAGTGAGCGATACGAAACCGGTTATCCATTTACTAAGAAACAAAAGGGCTATAGGGCGGGCAGTGGTATTGTTCCGTTGTTGGAAACGTTGTCAGAAGTGCAAGATGTTGGAAAATGTGTAGTTCCGGTTTTTTTTCTTTTGAAAGTGGATAACGGTTAATGTTCATTGGACTGGATTTCGTCAGAGTTATGGAAACTTTCATAAAGGATTCATCTTGCACCCCAACACATCCTCGAATACCCATAACTTTGAAAAATCTTGTACGTCCTCGATTTAGAGCATTGATTGGAAGACGTGGAAATAGGGAGAACTCGGTCGTTAACCATTTTTCGAATTTTAGTATTTTCAAGAAGTCTTTGTTCTTCAGCAGCTGTTTTTACCGGCAATTTACTACTTAGATTTAGCCTCCTTACAACTTTTCATTTTTCGTGATCCTTTATTTTATCACTTTTAGTTTAATTTTTCGTGATCCTTAGGAGAGCCTAGTGAAACACCTCTAATTTTGGTAAGACCGTATCAGTTTGGGCTACATATTTTCAGCACAACAATTTTATTTGAATGGAATTCGTTCTTCATAACTTATTAGCGTTTTTCGAGAACAGAATTTCGTTTATGGGAAAACGATATGAGTCAGTTCTTCTCAGTATTGTTGTATAAAATAATTGTAAAATGTCTCGCTGATCTTTATGTTTGCAATACTTAATGAATTTTGTGTAGGTAAGTCACATGTGACTTAACTATTGGCTTTTACCTAACCATTATGTTTTCATTTCTTCCGATGAATACACCCTCCCAACGGTTTACCGCCTCATCGTGGCTGGAAGGTGTCGGATTGCGATGTATAGCGGGTGGATTCGTCTCCCCGGCAGAGTCTCCCAAGTTGAGGAGTCCGGCGTTTCCATCAGGAAGCCTAGCTAAGAGTAAACCAATACCAGGACCCACTACCGTCTTGGTATCAAAGTCACATGGTGGTAAATCTCCCTCTGATCCACAAGGACTGCGACTATTCGCGGTGGTGAAGACCTAGGGAAGACTTTGGCCAGGTTGACCTCGGGATTCCAGGGAACCACAATAGCTTAACCAGCAAACCTCCGAAAAATGGAGATTATGCTGGGGCCCGCACAATCAGGGGGAAAGACCATTCAAGTATTTTCATCGCTCAACAAGAATACGAAGATTTACGCATTGAGTGGAATGGTGGTTGGTGGAATTTGGTTGTAGTTTCATTCATTACTGCATAGCAGAGGAAAAGTGGTTTAGAGAAGTTTTATTTTCTCATAAGCTTAGAAGAATTTTGTTATAATGGAAGGTGTTTTCTGTTCCAAAGAAGCGATACCGAATCATTTTCTCTTGTTTAGTTTTCTATGAGTGTGAGTCTTGTTGTTATTCGTATGAAGTGCTGAGATACCTGCTTGTCCTTACCGGGGAGCAGCGCACTTCACCACTACACCATCCGGGTCCTTCGCTTTGCATGTATCTCAGCTAGTTCTATCGATCTTTTTGCCATCTTGTTGTTATTGTCTACTATGTGAGTTTATCTCATACGTCTTAGGTTGTTCGGAAAACAGTTTAGGTTATTACCTGATACTTGAACAGCCCGTCCTCACTAGTTGTGCGGGCCTCAGCATAATCACCATTTTTCGGAGATTTGCTGGTTGAGCCATTGTGGTTCCCTGGAATCCCGAGGACAACCTGGCCGAGGTCTGCCCCAGTTTAGGTTATTAGCCTCTCAAATACACGTAACTCAAACAATCGTTGGTATCACAATAATCTCATAAACCGTTGGGTCACTCAGGCAGTCTCAGTTAAATCTGCGTTCGTCTCAAATGCGCTTCGAAACTCCTCAATGGGACTTTGTTTACTCAATGAACACGAGCGGCATCATGCTTGGTACGTAGACCATTTCTTACATTTAGGCGAATGTACCAACGAGTTGCTTGTAGATTTCTTCTATAGCATATGCTTATCCTTAGTTGCTGCGACCTAGATGTCCAAGATTTGCTCGATAGGATGAAATCTAGTCATCCCATTCTTTTGCACTATGATCGTGCGGAATATGTTTGGCTCTTGCCATGTTTTGGTCCCAGTCGAGTAGTTAATTAGTGTCCCAGACGTCCCAGTTCTTGATGCAGTTTGTTCATTTACTGTCACTACTTCCAAGTTGTCTGAGTTTAGGAATTTCTATTAGGTTATTTCTCAGTATCAGTACCAAAAAGTTATCACTTCGAGTACAGTGTTGATTTCCTGAGACATTTCGCTAGTTCACCATTATTCACTTCATAATATCTGTCGGCTGTTGTACGAAGTCCATTTCTAGTCTCTCATTTCGACCGAGAAACGGAGGATTGTCTTGGCTGCGCAAATGAAGCACAGAAACGACCGTTGTGACGTTCTGTTTGCTTGTCATCGTTCAGTTTAGACAGAATTCATTTGTCTAGCTTCTTGACTTTCCATTTCGGTTGAGGAATTCAGAAAACATCGTTATACTCATGCGTTATACTTATGTAATACTTATTAAACGGAATTCTTGCGTAAAAACTCTAGCCGGCATACTTGTTGATTCTGCGTTGATTGACGTCTTTGAGTGGTAACCATTGTTATTAGCGTTTATCCCTACTCCCTTCCTCTCTTCATTCGTCTCTTCTTCATGTTCAAATCTCTTATCACTACTACAACACTTTTGAAATCGAGATCTTACCGTTCCGCAGTTTCACCTCCATGTTTGACTTATTGCTAAAAAATTGCTCGAGCTTTGTCCTTTTTTCGATTTTATTAAAATGAGGTAGTTGGAACGCAATACGACATTAAAACAAGTGAGCCATAAAGAAGTATGAAGTAAGAAGTGCGAAAGCTGCTTTTTAAAATGCTGTGTAATACAAACACAGAGATTTCCGGGTCTGTTTACACAGAGAATGTTAGCGTTTAAACGTTTAAAACGGACACTACTTTTCCATCAGCTTGCTTTTCTGTTTATAGACGTAGAATGACTGTCTACGATGGCTACCTACTGCACTACTATGTTTGTTCTGCTAGCCGTTTTCTTTACAGCCTTTTGCAATTTTTCATGTTAGGGTATTGTGTGTGGTACAATCACAGTGATGCTGAGATATTTGCAAAACACCGGATCGCAGGTGTTACCGGTGGGGAACGAAGGCATTATTACCCTTTCCGGCGGCTAACGCGTTCACCATCACACCATGTGGGTTCTTCGTTTCGTCTGTCTCTCAGTTAGTTTCCTATCTACTAGTGCCATCGGCCATCAAGCCAGAGGCCGTACAAAGGACCCGCATGGTGTTGTGGTGAACGGGTTAACCCATGGAAGGAGTAATAGCGCGCTTGTTCCACACCGCAGACATCTGCGGTCCGAAGTTTGGCAATTATCTCAGCATCATTGTGGTTGTATGTTCGTTACGTTCGTTATGTGCACCTTTGTATTCTTCTTTTCAATATTTGAATATTTTATCTTTCCGTCATGTGTTGATTTTACATTGTCTTGATGTCGGTACTAATTATTAAATTTAGGAACATACCTCAACTACAAACTAAAAACACTGTTGACAACGAGAGGGCCATTTTCCAGTAACCGGCCTCCCTAGTGGAACGCGCCTTCTGGCATCACTGTTTGTACTTTGATATAATTTCAGCTTTTCCAAATATTTTCGTTCATTTTGTGAACAGACGATTCTGTTGGCTCAGTGGCATGTGGGTTATTCATTGAAACGGGTAGAGAACCCACATTCATAGGAGTCGTTTTTCAGTGTTTTATAAGTAGCAGACTCTTGCATCTGTTACTTTTCGCATTATAAATATTACTTGTTGTGGCAAGCAGTTAGATTGCTTAGATCATGGATCCCATAAATGATGCCAGATTTTACGAGTCGTTGATCAAACCTCCACGGCAACGGACGCAGGATGTGAGTGTAGCATATTTTTAGGACAACATCGCCGTTTTTTTCTGCTTTTTTTTTCTTCGAGGTACTTTTTTAACAAATTTTTTTTTATTTTCAATGAATATTTTAGGATATTCGTAATATCTATGATCAATTGCGGTTGCTTGATATGTTCTCAAATCTTTATAGTGGTCCATTGAAGGCTATCTGTGCTAACGCACGATACGAGCGGCACAGTGCGCATCACACACTCTATAGGTACCCTAGTTTGAACTTTCCCGTCTCATAAATGCCACTTCTATCGAGGTATTCAGGAATTATTGTGTAGTTGAGATTGATTGTTCTTAGAAAAAGGCTTTGGAAAAGTGAAATTGCTCATTTATGATAATTAGTTCTTTACAGGGAAGGGCAGGTGGCAACATGCTGGTATATTCTTTTATCGGGGTCTGTTCTAATTGAAAACAACATATGTCTTCCATATGGGTGGTAGGTGCTTCTATATTTGTTTTCTGTTTTTAAGTCTTAGTATTTTCCTATCCTGTTGTCGAATAGATAGTGCTTCAAGCAAAACTCCAATTTGTTTCCGTTAAAATTAGTCACTAGTTCGTCATATCGATCATTTGAATCACATCCTAAGGTCATCGAATAATACGCTAACGGTCAGTATCGAAATGTGTCTGACCTAGTTCTTATCTCTTCACAGTCCTTTCTTTATTATCTGTTGTTTAGATCTATTTTGCGAAAGGAATATGTTAAACCCAAGATTAACTTCTGGTTTTTGATTCCTCACTGAGGGAATAAAAATTATGATGAGATAATTGCCGCCAAAATATCGCCCTTCTTATATTTACAAACACCTACCTACTGTTTCTTGGCGTAGTTCCTCGTTATTTTTTTCCTTACAAAAGTCTCTGGTGTTTAGAATGTTTTATTTGTTCCACTCACCTCTAATTTTGTGCAGACAAATTACAAACGTCGTTTTCTTTGTTTTTTTCCTTGTGAACATTAAAAACCTCTAACATTAAATAACATGCTATTTAACCATTGAGACAATATCTATTAATAATGCCAACATAGTTCATGGCGTACGATGCATTACTCGTAATCCCTTTAATAATCCAATTAATCGGGTAGGTATCAATAAAGCTTCCGGCATTCCCTTATCTGCACCATAACTGCTCATTGAGTTACGCTCATTGTTGGAGCTCGAAAAAGACTACGTGTTTTCCAAGAATCTAGCTACAGGTATTGTTTCAAGCTGTCTAGTAAGCAGCTGACTATAAAGGATAAACGATAAAGCTGTCGGCGTTGATCAATCCCTGAGGGATTCGCCGTGCATTCGACTTCATCAAGCATCGTTGGAAGTGATTGAATGCCTATCTGTTCTTTATCATGCATTGCAGTTGCCTACCAATGTATAGAGTCAGTGCTGCTATCCTCCCAGAGAAGCTTGGTGCCAATTTGTTGACCACGGAGGGATGGAAGGCTTTGTGAGCCTGGGACGCGGAGATCGACCCCATGTGTATTGCAATGCACCTCAGACCACAGCGCTACACGCGCCATGTACGCTTATATATTACGTTCGACGACATTTAATGTACGATTTCAATCTGTATTTCCAAACTTGTACATCTCGGTTAAGAACAAACTTTATTAGCCGGAAAGAAAACTGTTACAGTATTGTCTTTTTTCAAATGGAAAACTGTACCAATTGAGATATTTTTAAAACTCCGGACCGTAGGTGTCTGTGGTAGCGATCGAATCCCTTTATTAAGCCCTCCGGAGGCTAACGTGTGACGGGTCCGACGCTTGTTGTCCGGAGTTGCAAATATCTCGGGATCGTTGTAGTTATATTTCCCGTCATACCTTGCCGTGAAAAAGAATAGGCTGTAATTGAGAAGTGACTACATTGTGAGCTATACCAGTTACCTGAATTTCCAGGCATCTGGGGGCAATGCGGTCATTGAAGTAGGGTTTGACCTTGTACTGATTTTTTAGGCATTTCTCGCGCAATTCTTTATCGTGATACTTGAAGAAGGATAATCAGGAAACGAGAGATTTGACGAGTATGCTAGATGAGGCAGAATTTTCTAATCCGTCTCGCTTAATCTTTGCGGCGTGTCTAGTACGACGTGTGGTAACTCTTTATAGTGGAGCAGGATTAGTCATTTTTTTTTGGCCAACATTGTACGCGATTGTTGACTTTTCTGGTGCATTTTGTCAATTTGCTGTATGTACTTCTCAATTATGATTGTTTCACACGGATTCAGAATGCTTCGGTGAATCATGCCAGCTGTATATCATCGAATGGTCGACATGTTTTTCTTTTGGTTCAATTTCGACTTTAGGAAGTGCTGCGGAGCTTTATCGCCTTTCAACCAGTGAGTCGGTCGTCGCTGGTTAGAGGATCCATTTATCGTCGCATGTCGCAATACGCTCGAGAAACGGGTCGTTCTAATTGCGAGAAGAAGCGCCGACGATGCTTAACCTCGTTTTCTTTGATTGTCATTGTTCTAGCACGGCATCCATTTGGCAAGCGTTTTTGAGTTTAGAATTTTTCTTCGATGAGCTGAAACAGTTGAATTACCTGCACGAATTTCTTCTGCAAGTTCTGAAACAGTTGTGCGTGTATTTGCTACCACGGAACCCTTTGATTCATCGTTGTGAATAGTAAAAGGAAGTCTACGACCTTCGTTATCTTGTGCGTCCAGTTTGCAATGCCAAAATTTTTGAAACTAGCGTTGCGTCAGCTAACACTTCCTTGGCCCCATACCTCGTCGCTGCTTCGAGCCAATTGCGCCGCTCGAGTTTGAGTTTGTGGAATTTGTCGAGTTTTCTGTTTTGGCTTCCAAATTTCTAATCTATGGGATTTTCCAAACACACAATTTGTATTCTGATTCAGTTATACTTAGCGAATTTGTATAAAAAAAAGTTATACAGTGGAACAGCGTGTGGCGCAGTGGTCAGGGGCGCCCTGCAACACACACGTGGAATCAATCCTCGCGCTCATGGCCCAACAAGCCTTCCATCCCTCTGGGGTCGGCAGGCTCGATACATCGGTAGGCCACGCGAGTCATTGTAAAGGCTAGATGTGCATTCAATCACACCCAATTTTATCACTTTACTTTTATACATATCTATTCATGTATAAGATAAAGGATAAAGCTCTCGGCGTTGATCAATTCCTGAGGGATGCGCCATGCATTCGACTTCATTAAGTATCGTTGGAGGTGATTGAATGCATTTCTGGCTTTTACAATGGCTCGCGTGGCCTACCGATGTATCGAGCCAGTGCTGCTATCCTCCCAGACAAGTCTGGTACCAATTCGCCGACCTCGGAAGAATGGGGGGTTTCGTGGGCCATGGGCGCGGGGATCGATTCCACGCCTCCAACCAGTGCGCCACACGCGCCTTGTATTCCTTCACATATATGTAATATTTCTGTACAATGCAAGTGTATTATAAATTCTTATATGTATGTACAGAATATGTCGAGTCTTATATACACCATATATATTGTGTTATTGTATATAAGTTGTACTATTGTATATAACAAAATTATTATACAATATATATGCAATATGTAAGTATAAATTGTAATGGCACATGTAATAATATGTAAATACAACGTGTAATAGTGTGTCAGTAGTGTAGTAATGAATAATAGTATGAAATCATATATATCATAATCATTATATATATATGTGTATATATGTAGATATGTGTATAAATGTATTTTTTTTTCTTATATGACCTGTCTCCACGCCTACCGTGTGGATCCAAGCACTTCTCACATTCGATTCGTCTCCTCGCATCCATTATCCACGGAACCTTTACGTGTGGCTTCAGTTGCTGCTTGAGGTTTTTTATTTCATCTGGAATGTCGTAAAGTGCTAGTCAAGCCATTCTCCTTAGAGTTCTGAGATAGCCGGGCTGGAGTGCTGGGATCCGCGCAGTAGGTGTGATGATAGGTCATGCGAAAAATTGTGTTTGAGTATGTACATGTGTGCTTCTATATACGTCATATTATATATATATATATATATGTATATATACTAGCGTGGGGAGACATCTAGTCGTTTTTGAAGCAAATTATTCAGAGATTGATGTGTAATCGTTTTGTCGAAGTATCATCCGCGAATTCGATCGCTGATATCTCTCATCGCGGGCACAACATAAGTACGATCATGATTCCATTGTCGCGAACAGTATAGTGCACATTTCTTCCTCTATGCACAGTTTTCTTCTTACCTCTCACTAACATTCATCATTAACTCTGATTTCCACTATGTACCTGGTTTCGGCAGCTGCTGTTTACATGCTGTCACTTCAGTTGAAATATATAGAGTCACATGATTTCAATACTACAACATTTTGTGTCATTTATTGCAAACAGTTTATCTTTAGTGTTGAATAAAATTTGTGAACTGCTATAATGTATAATGAAGTCCATTCTTTTTATGATTCAAACTGACTTTTTGCAGTTTCGGAAAACGAAATGGGATGAGTTGTCGTCGCACTCAAGATTGTATGGTGTTACAAGAATCGGAGATGATTGTGGTTAGTGTTTATTCTAATGTCAGATCAGTGTTAAAGAGGGAGAGGGAGAGTGAGAGAGAGTTTTGATTCTTCTATAAAAAGGTTCAACTCTTTTCGAGTTAAGAAGTTATGTACAATTTCAGCTTTATTAAATAGCATAGAGCAGTAGAGTTAGTTTTGTGAAAAACTTGATGCAATTTCTTTTTGTCTCATTCAATTTTTTGGTTCATATATTAGTCTCGGTATGAATAATAATGATTATATGAATCATATGTGTGCACTTTGACGAGTAAGAGTCACATGTGACTCATTTCTTTTTCAACTTACTTTTTCTGGTGACGAGTAAGAGTCACATGTGACTCATTTCTTTTTCAACTTACTTTTTCTGGTTATAGTTTTTTTTTCTTTTCTTTTATACTGTGCTTATAGTATTCACTCTGGCTTCCACATCGTAATTGCTAGAACCAAACATTACTCGAGAAAAGTTGTTCTTTGCACTTCGTAATGTAGAAAAAGGAACAGTTTTTGAACCCTTTTCACTTTTCATTTGCATGATTGTAACCAAGCAGTGTGAGATTGTTACCATTAAGGATTCTACTAGTACGCTTCTGTTGCACAAGTACTGGTAGATGAGTGCTGCGGTGATATCTTGTTCTATGTTATGCATGGCGAATAACAAATAATAATTGTTACTGGCGTCTATGACCTGAAAATTGTTTCGACCTGCGTGAGTCACGTAGAGCTTCTTCTCACGAGCTTTCGTAGCGGTAAACAAGTGCTTTGTACCAACCTTCTTATGCTCTAGAATAATTGAGAGATATCTTCAAGTCTCTAATCCTTTTACAGTTCTAAGCTTGTGTATGCATCAAACTCTTTACACTGACTTGTACAACAAACTCAAGCATTTTCTTCATAGCAGCAGAACTTTTCTTTTTAATTATTTCCTTTTCCTCCTTTTCATTTACTTTTTTTTCCATGTCTTTCCTTATTGTTAAAATGGAAGATCTGGAAAATACTATACAAGAGTTTGAAATTTCATACATCAATATTAATTATTGGGAAAGGTACATGCTAACATTCAAAACATTGCCATCTGTATTGCCAATATCATTATTTTTTAATGGAATCGAGTACCGGATGGTAGGTGCTTGTTGTAAGTCGAGATGTCAATTCGTTATTTTTTGTTTGTTCACTTTTTCTTTTTTTCTTTTTTTACCAAAGCCAATCCAGTTATCCTCTTACTCTGTGTAGTTTACGATTGCAAAGCCTGTGCTCTTGTTTAGGAGCACCTGTAAATGTTTATAGTGCTGTTCAAAACGGAAAATTCGATAAGCGACACCAAACAATCTACATTTAACTTACCATCTTAACAGTAAAATGAGATGAGGAACTAGAAGCGAAAAAGAAAATCACGAAAGACTCCCTTCTATGGCATGTGCACTGAATCACTGATATTTGTGTATTGTTTATATATTAAATCAAACAATACACGAATGCATAATGACTTTATAATCCCACATTTCCTTATCGTTTTGCGATCTATTGAAACTTGTTTGGCAATGACAGTGGCACGATTTCGACAGTAATTCGTTAAGACTCTCTCTCTATATGAGAACTGGTTACTAAAATAGGGTAATAGAACGTAGAAACTGAAGACAAAGCGGAAACAACTATGAATCACATAGAAGGGCTAACTCAGTTACAAATCTCTATTACCGTCCCTGTAGTCAACAATACCATAAATCATGGTTCGGGTAGCACGCTAACTCTAGTTTACGTTTGTGCTGTTAATAGAACTTCTACAGAACCAGAACGGTTTCTAGTGGTATTGAGACCAATCAAACCTTGCTATCATTGAAGACAAATTGCTTTCTACCATAGGTTGCTTAGTTCAGTTTTATACATTAGTTTTCCATCAATCTAAATTTTACGTCATTTTTCATTGCATAGATTTAACTAACTGTGTATGACTAGTAGCATCTCATCATCTTGAGTTTCATTGGAAAAAGTGTTGTACGGTAAGAAAATATGATGTATTCCGTTTTCATTTGAGGTACTTTACTGTAGGTCTATAGGGTACCAATTTCAACCCTATGTGGTGTTTAAGACATTCGCCTTCCCTCTGTGAATTAAAATGAGAGAATTATGTCAGTCTTCGCTGTAAAGTAGAATCTTTCTGACAAGTTCTTTCTTGATTGCCTGACTAAGCATCCACTGACTGCGCCCAAACGAACTAATGCAATTTTCTCCAGTGTCCGTCCGCGCGTCCCCTTCTTGTCACATTTATGTGAGGATATGGCACAAGTATTCGTCCACTGGTGCATTCAACTTCTCATAGGTATTTAGCCTTGAGGCGCGCACTAAGGAGCCAAAAATCCTTTGTTCGGCTCGAATTCCATTACTTCTAAAGCTATCTATCGGCACCACTAGATAATTTTGCTCTTTGTAGTTCTTCGTGCAGTTTTTTTTTTGTCTACTTGATGTAGGATCTTCTTAAACGACTGTTTTACGTTGTTTGCTGATTATTTTTAAGTACATTGAATAATAAACTGGTTACAGTTTTTTTTTGCAGCTTGTGTTCATTCCTTATGAATCTTAGGTCCAGGCGCCATAGGTTTTATATTTCATGTTATTTTATCATTTCTTGTTAACATTATTTTTGTGTCGTAATAAACCGTCGTCACATAATTAGAACTTATCCATTTCTTTAAGCAGCTTAGCTCCGTGGAACCATCGGCGCATTAGCTATGCAAAATAGCGAATTGAATAGCAAGATAATCGCTTGTTGTTCACTCTAACATCTGTCTAAGGACAGCTCGTCATGGTCGGTTACTTGTACATACTTCTTACATTCCAGTTTTATCCTCGTCGAAAATTTGTTAGTTAGAGTGCTATGCGGGGTTTTATTTCACTGTGAATGATGAGATAATAGTGAGTTTATTTATGAAAAAGGACGTGGTAAATATATCTGTCGCGTAAAGAAATCTCTGTAACCAACGGTTTGTACTGGAGGCGAACTTTGCAGTCAACATCTATTTAATATATATATATATATATATACTTATATATATCTACGCATGTATATACATATACATGCATATGTACCTCAATATATATGCGTACATATGTGCGTATGTATATACATATATACATATATAAATATACGTATATACATACCGCCACACTTGTACCCCATGCCAGATCGAACCATGATTACGATTTACGGGAGCTCATGCACTACTCACTGCATCACTGAGACCCTTGCTACGCCATTCTTTCAGTTTGTTTATATGTATATATATATGCATATATATACATGTGTATGTATGTATACGTATATATTTCTATTTTTATGAACCTGTAAAAACAACGTTGACAATACCAATGAATTATTGATGCAGATGGTGTTCACAGACAGAATTTTAGCACATATCTGACTGGGAGATTGATAAAATTCTTGATTTTTTATCAAGACCCTCCATGCAAAACTCACCGCAGTGGTTATAAGTGTCGTGCAATAAACATGTAGCTGTTCGCATTACTGGCTCGCTGAGCCTTTTATTCCTCCGGAGTCAGCAAATTGGTACCACCCTTGCCTGGGAATATAGCAGTACTGATGTAAGCCAAGTCACTTATAACAATGCTTGCTGAAGCCGATTACACAGCTCATCACTGGGAGATTGATCAACGTCGAATGCCTTATCTCTTTATCCTTTATGCGTCATAATAGTTATATGTTTACGCTTATTTTGGAAGTACCCATGTTTAGTTTCGAAAAGTCGTTTTATTTTCAAAAGTGGTGGTTTATTGTAATTATCCCATCATCACCTGCACCTTCCATTAAGGTTATTTTTTTAAGGTAGGTTATCAGTAATAGCTTATATCAAATTTTGCGAAGCGGATTTCAGATTGACTATCCCGACATACCGCAAATCATCACAGCACCGTCGCCTCATCTGAAACAAATGCGTAAAAGCGTTCATTGCATTGACTCGGATATTCGCACCGTGCCACCGCCTCCCGTTCCTCCTCGACCAACTCGCTTGCCGCCGGCTCGGATCCCGCACCCGCCATTGCCTCGTGGGCTACCAAGGTGGACTATGTTGTCCATTGTTTCTTTGTTATATGTGAACATGTTTAAATTCTTATCACATTGGTATTTTCTACAGTTTAATGTTATAGTGTCTCAGGCAGGTTTTCTTGAAAATTTTCTGACGACATCTTATAAGCTAGTCAATAAAGCGAAGCATCAAGCCGAATACATTATAGAAAACGAATCGTTTTACCAACTATGAAATCTCTGGAAATTTTGTGTCTTCCGAAGCATGAATAGATTTTTTCCGTAATCTTTCTCGCTTTGGACAAAAGTAGTGGCGATCCTCTCTGGTTTCCTTTTGTTACACTTCTTGTTTAGATCGTACGCAGTCGATTTCCCAGTTGATATTCCAACTACTTCATCTTATACTTCTGCAACAGAAGATCACAGGAGTCAGGTTAATGTCTGGTTTTTTAAATATTACTTTTTTCATATATATAATCATATATGTGTATATATATATATATATATATATACTTGATACTTGAATGGGCCGTCTTCACTGGTTGTGCGGGTCCCAGCATAATCTCCATTTTTCGGAGGTTTGCTGGTTAAGCCATTGTGGTTCCCTGGAGTCCCGAGGTCAACCTGGCCAAGGGGTCTTCCCCAGGTCTTCACCACCGCGATTAGTCGCAGTTCTTGTGGATCAGAGGGAGATTTACCACCACGTGACTTTGATACCAGGGCGGTAGTGGGTCCTGGTATTGGTTTACTCTTAGCTAGGCTTCTTAACGGAAACACCGGACTCCTTAGCTTGGGAGACTCTGCCGGGGAGACGAATCCACCCGCTATACACCGCAATTCGACGCCCAGAAACACCTTCCAGCCACGATGAGGCGGTAAACCGTTGGGAGGTGTACATACACTTATATATATATATATATGTATATATGTACGTATGTATACATATATATACACGTATATATCCGCATATAGATAAATAAATGCGTATATATATATATATATATATATATGTATACATATTTATAAGGGCGCGTGTGGCACAGCAGTTGGAGGCGCCACTGCGACGCACACGGAATGGATCTCCGCCCACCAAGCCTTCCATCACTCCGGGGTCGGTAAATTGGTACCGGACTTGTTTGGGGGGATAGCAGCACTCGCTCGATACATCGGTAGGCCATCGCGAGTCATTGTAAAGGCCAGATATGCATTCAGTAACCTCCATCGATGCTTAATGAAATCGAATGCATGGCGAATTCCTTAGGGATTGTTCAACGCGGAGAGCTTTATCCTTTATATATGTATACGGAATGTTATCGATGAAGGATACGACCTTTTCTAGCTACATAAAATTACTCAATTGTGCTAGTCTTTGATTTATCGCAACAAGGTTGTCAGCAATGGGGAACTTATTTTCTAAAGCAATGCTACAAGACCGCTACGCGCTATAGCATAGTTTTCTAGAAATGTATTCATTTTTAGGTGTACTTAAACGGTCTCGTGTCAGATGAAGAAACATTAGTCCGTGTGAAGCATCGCCGAGAAGCAAGTGACTGTATAGGGAACGCTACTAATCTCTCAGCCCGTCGGTTACGTGTCAGAAGGTAAATCATTTACATTCGATTAATGGGGCTGTTATTTTAAAGAAAGTATTTATTCTTATAGCACTGCATCATCAACAACCACGGAAGGGGATGACGCAAGTGGTAGTGCAGGAGTGGATGGAGCAGATTCCGAAGAGGAGGACGATGATGGATCGTGTCCTTCTCATGAGAGCTTTGTTGACTTAAAAGATTCTGTTCGCGAATGCCTTGAAAAAGAGCCCAGTGAGCGAAATGCCGAAGATTTAGCGATTTTACTGGTGTGTTGTTCAGTTTTTTTTTTCTTTGTGATTTCTAATATATAATATTAAAGGACTTCATGCAACATATGTCTTCATTCGCTTCGCTTCCAATGTCTATAAAAAGGCAGTTGTGTCTGAAAATGGTGTTCGCTGTGGTCAATGATGCCGGAACTATTGTAATGCATCACAATGAAAAGCTTGATGCTTGGTTAGTTCCGCTATCCTATTTGTTTCCAACTTGTATATCTAGAATCTACGATATTTGTTTCCATGCTTAGGTCTGTTATTGTGAACGGACTTGTCGAGGTTGTGAAGCCGAATGGTGAAAGAGTGGAATACAAGCTTGGAGATTCGTTCGGCGCAGAACCAACTCCTGTTGTTCAGTACCATATCGGTGAGATGCGCACGATGGTTGATGATTGCGAATTTGTGCTTATTGAACATAAGGTGCGATTATTTAAAATTGCACTTATTCAAATTTCACGTTGTTTATTTCACAGCAGGAGTGCTATAATGCGTACCTTAAGTTCATTTGTTACAGGATTTTTGCTCAATTATGTCGACAATTGGTGAACATATAGAAAAGGATTGCGATGGTCTTACTGGCGAAGTGGTGTCCGAAACGGAGCGAAGAGCTGTGGGAAGCCAAGTTGGTCTGGTTCTTATTAAAGGGAAAGTAAGTTTTTAACTTTTTTTAGGAGTGTTTTCTTTATAAATGCCGATATATAGGCTTCACTATACTAATTTAGCCGGACAAACTGATTCAGCATCTTATTGATGATCGCGACAACAGTATTGATCCTCATTATGTGGATGATTTTCTCCTTACCTACAGAGTTTTTATTCACAATCCAACAATAATATTTGAAAAACTTATGATGTGGTTTGCTGAAGGTGCCTTAAGAGATAAGGTGCCTTGTTTTTTTCTATGGATTCTTTTTATTTCAGTTTTTTAATGTCCTTTATATTTTTACAAAATGTTTTCATCGAAAATTTCCAGCTATTTCTAGATTGCTCGTATAGTCCTGTTATGGGTAAATAACCACTATAACGATTTCGAAACAAACGATGAAATGGCGAAACTTCTAGAAAGGTAGCTGCACAAAGTTTCCCCGTCGAATATCGAAGATATTAAGTTTGTTCCAGATTTGAAGGCGCCTTGGAACGTGATGGTATGCACAGTCAACAGAGTTTACTCAATATAGCTTGTTCTGTGAAATCAAGACCAAGAACGATAGTTTACTCGAGAGCCAATAAGGTATGTTGGAGTTCCTTTTATGTCTATTTATCAAGTAGTTTTAACATTTTCAGGATGATCCTTTGCACTTTTCCGTGCAAGGAGGGAAAGAGAGTGGCTGCGGTATCTTTGTTAGTGAAGTAGGTTTTTGGTAGCAGTATTTTTGTTCCGACACTTCCAATTCTTCAACATTTTCTTTGTGATTTTTGGCGTCTATTCTTCTCTTTTCTCAGAATTAGAAACAGTAGGTATCTATCCCAGGTCCAAGCGGATTCTCCAGCTGAGCGGTATGGATTGAAACGGGGCGATGAGATTTTAGACATTAACGGACAGGCCATGAAGTATTTAACGTTAGCAAAAGCACAGGAGATTATTAGAGTATGTATATTAACCTTCAATTCAAGTAGCGTTTTTGGAAATATTAATAGACCTTATTACAGGATCAAACCTCGCTCACAGTTAATTTGAAGAGCAACATTCTTGGGTTCAAAGAGTTACTAGGAAAAACGGAACGAGACAGCGCTAAAGTATCATCCAAAAGCAAAACTCTAGTTGGAGTGTTATCACAGAATCGTGTTAACGTGCCTCATGTTATTCCAGTTAAATCAACTAAAACGGTGAAAATTGGAGGTGAGGATTTATTATTTGACATTGCACACCTTGTATCATCAATATTGGTGAAGAAATCTATCATATGAAGTTACTTTTAGGCGGTGTGAAATTCAAAAATATATTGACACATTTATTTTTCCTCTGTTTTCTTGCAGTGAATAAAACTAGCATGATGGACAAGTTAATGACGATATTGAAGTCTTCTAAAGATATCGAAGACACCACTGATGAGACCCATAAAACGTCGTCCTATCTACGACCTAGTAGGTCTAACCCTGATATTACTTCCCTATCGCAGTATTATGAACCTATTAAATGCGAGTGCCCAGAACACGTTCTTAAAATATACAGGTGAGTTTATATCTATGCGCTTGTGCTGAAGAAAATCCGAAGAAACGCAACGAAAAAGAAGGAAGGTTTCGCTTTCAGGAGTGATCAAACGTTCAAATATCTTGCCGTATATAAGGAAACAACGGCGCAGAATGTTGTTCAGTTGGCGTTGCAGGTTTGTTCATATGAAACTTTGGCCATGTCTTAAGAGAAAATTGATGCACTTGACACGTGAACCTATCTCCCTTTTAATAACTCAAAAGACCGGCTTTCTATAAACCTCATCATAGTAATCGATATATCTATATGCACGTTCTTACGAACTGCTCTTTCTCAACAGACGCGACGTTGATATAGATGTTCTTATCGTTGTTGTCCGTCAGTAGTCGAACAACAACAACAACAACAACAACGACAGCAATCGACCTTGATCATCGAACAACAGCAACAGTAAAAACATCTGTATCTATCTCGCGTCACCTCAACAAGGATATTGCATAAGAACATATATATGGATATATCTCACTCTTCTCAACTTTTTGACAACAATGACTCCTCTTAACGCGTAGTGACTGTCACCTAGTTTTAGTCAAATTCATCGTATTTTTTGCTATCTGAGCTGTTTAAACAGCTGAAAGCTCGAGAAGTCTGTAAAAAGCAGACTATATTCTGTCCGTCTAGAGTCATATACATATGTATGTGTATCTATATATAGATATACATGGAATGTAAAGATACATATATGCGTGTGTATATGAGTATGTATAGGCGTGCATGCACATACATATATCTCTGTAAATAGGTATAATTTTCATGCAAAGATACTTGAAATATTTGTATATATATGCATATATTGGGCATATATGTGAATATGTACAGCTTTATGTATCTCCAGAATATCTTTAATGCATCCATAGTTTTTTTATTCATTCAACTTTTCGAAGAGTTGTAAATGAATTTTAGATGTTTTAAATTTTTGACGTGGGCGCGGTTGGCGCTAACATGATTGGAAGCTTAGGCGACACCATCATGTCCTGCTGGAGCATTCTCTCTAGTTCAGTCGATTTGCTGTTGTGGAAATACGAGCCTTGATGCAAAAAGAAAAAATTAGAAAAAAATGCGTTGCCTGAGGTTCCACAAAACCACGATGTTGTATTGATAGAATTAGAAAATAGGTCTTGTTACAAACGTCTGCGAATTATAATGGCGTTTTTTCCAACTAGTGAAATTGAGGGCGACGTGGTGTTGATGGCTGCAAATGGGTTCGCACCCTTACAAGTTCAAACCAGTTCACACCTATACTTATTTGTTAAAATGACTCTTACTGTAAATTCTTATATCCACTTTTGTGCAGTTTGTTAGAAATCCTACTACTTTATTTAAAAAAGAGGACCGTTTTATTACAAGTCTGCCATTATGCATTAGGATTGCCAAATTTTTAGTAACCTTCTGGGCGCCATTTTTGTTAGATGTTGAATATTATGGGGTTTCTATGCGCGCATGGTACCTGAATTGATGAGATTTACATTCATGTCTCCATACAATACGCAGTACATGAACTTGTCAGCGGTTTCGTGGGTAGGTTGATGAGTGCAGCGAGCTGTTTCTCCTTTTTTCATTCTTCTTGTTGAAGTACCAAAAATCTTAAGACAATGTAACTTCGCCGAGAAATGAGGCTGCAACCGCATACAGTACCTTATTCCATTCTTCCTGAGCAATGAACACTCCAACGAACGCACTTTATTAGGTGACAGTGGCTCGTCCTGAGATTGCTGGGTTTAATGATGCAATGCAAAATGTCACTTTAAGATTTACCAACGTTTTGGGATTAATTGTCGCTTTTTTTGTCAGGAATTTAACATGACAGCTGAAGGTAGTCTAGAATGGTCTTTATGCGAATGCACTGTCACTGAAGACGGCGTTATAAAACAGCGACGTCTGCCACCGCAAATTGAAAACTTGGCTGAGCGTATTGCCCTAAATAGCAGGTTCGTCTGCCTCCGTTGTTTGTATTTTAGGTTTTTGAAAGTATTACACCGGTTTGTAGTACTTTCGTAGTAGTTCTATCGCACTACATGCCAGGTATTACCTGAAGAACAACAATCGCTCCGAACCTCTTGTTCCGGATGAACTCGCGCCTGAAATCATTAAAGACTCCCAGGCACAGTTACTAGGACTCAATGCTCAAGTAAGATTCGATAAGTTTCGTTCTGAGGAGTTTCTGTTAGTTCACATTTAGGTTGTGGCAGCGCAACTTACTCTACAAGATTTTGCTGTTTTTGCTTCAATTGAACCCACTGAGTATATTGACAATGTGTTTAAGTTGGAATCAAGGTGAGGAAATATTTCATTTCAAATTGCTGCTGATTTTCATCACGTTTACATTTAAAGGTACGGCTCACCTCGTTTGGAGGAATTCGAGCGGATTTTCAATCGTGAAATGTGGTGGGTTGCAACTGAGGTGTGTTCTGAGCGGAATATCCAGAAGCGTGCGAAACTCATCAAAAAGTTCATTAAAATCGCGAGGTGAATTCACGAACCAGTAGTTTTGTGGAATATGCAAAAGTTTCCTTTTACTAACTGTTCTAGGTACTGTCGAGAGTTGCGTAACTTCAACTCAATGTTTGCTATCATGAGTGGTTTGGATAAGCCAGCAGTTCGTCGACTACATTCTACGTGGGAGAGAGTTCCTGGGTAAGATCGACGTCATTTTTTGCACCAACTGCTTTATTAACCGTACTGATTGCAGAAAGTACGTAAAAATGCTGGAAGACATTCAGCAGCTAGTAGATCCTTCGCGGAACATGTCTAAATACCGTCAGCATTTGGCCGAAGTTTCCCAAGAACCACCGGTTCATAATGCTTACACTTCATCTCCTTCTTATTGGGAATGTGTTCAAGTTATCGTTCAGGTAGTTCCAATTTACCCAGTGATCAAGAAAGACTTGACGTTCTCACATGAAGGCAACCCAACTTATTGCGGTAAGCTGGTGAACTTCGAGAAGCTGCGTATTATTGCGAAGTCAGTTCGAACAGTGACTAAGCTTAGCAGCGCCCCATATGAGATATCTAGTATGGCAGAAAGGGTGGGTGTTTGTGAAATCATTTGTGGTAATCCTCTTTTTCTTTAAAGTGTTTATGATCTTCACTGAATCCCTAAAGAAGTACTGTTCTAAAATTGTTCTTTGGGACGTCGCTCAAGCCTTCTTCTCATGGCATTTGCGAATGAAATTATTAAATGGTTCGAAGTGACCCAGAACAGAAACCTTCGCTGAAACATCATCTTAGTACAGTCATCATTAGCAAAAATTTCTTTTTTTCCTTCGGTACAGTAAATAACGAGATCGCCGGAGTACTTACGAACACAAGCAAACTTTTTTACGCTACTCATCTTTTACATTTATTGTGCGGATGCCAATACTTTTTTGAACGCTTTTTCGTTTTTACCCTTTAATGTCGTATATCATTTTCGCAACTCTACTGTGTTGTTCAGTAGTCGGCGCAAACGTTTATTTTGTGATTTGAGTCGGTACCATAAAAATATCAAAGCGTTCCAGAATATTTTTTTGGATAGAACTTATAAAAATTTTAGAGTGGTAGAACAATCAGTGATGCCTTGTTGCACATGAACACTTTTGAAGGAGGAAATGTCGCCACAATGAGGAAAGGTGGCCGTGTTGTTCAACCAAGGAAAAGAGTAGAGTTTTGCTTCTGTTGTCTGGTTATGCTGCCAAAAAAGTCTTATTTTTATTTTAGTTTATTTAGGATTTTTATATTTTATTGTGAATTCTTTCTATTCATAGGTTTATGAACAAGCCCTAATGGTTCGCAAAGTAAAGGCGTACTTGGATAATTTGCAAGTAGTGGACACAGAGGCAGATTTGGACCGACTTAGTTACACAATTGAGCCGCAACAACTTGGCAAGTTTCTTTGATTTGATGGAATTTGAAAAGTTGAGCTTATATGAATGAAACACGTTTAAGGACCTCGTGTACGTCGTGCTCCAAGTCCTTCTCCTTCCTCATTGTCTTCACAATCAGCAGAATCGATTTCCACGGAACAACGTCGCTTCAAGGGCGGTGGGATGTTTGGTGTAGACTCTCCCCATGCCGTTCAAAAAATGCTTGGCCTGGTGCAAACTAGCAAATCCAAAGGTTTTTGTCTGTTCAGTGATTTAAATGTTTTGGAAATCTTGGTTTTGGGAGAGATCTTATTAATTTGAAGCGTAATATGCAGGTATTACTTCAACGCCGTCACCTGCGTTGTCGTCCTCCGCAAAAACATTACATCGAAATATACCGCGAGTATCTTCACGTCAGCACTCTTCTCCCAGCATCCAACGAACGCCTTCATTGAAACAGGAACCATTAGACTTGAGCAAGGAATCCAGTTCAGTGACCAGTTTCTACGGTGCTGGTACGTTAGGTTTTTCAATAGATTTTCTATATTCTATCTCAACAAGTTATTTTAATTCTCTATATTTTACATTTCAAGAAACAGAAAACTCCTAACAGTACGTTTTAAATAACTGAAAGTAAGTAAGTGTATTTTGTTTCGAGGAGAAATTATCTTACCATCCTTCCCGCTATTTATGTGGTTATTCGTCAAATTTTTGAAATGGTATACAATTGTACAGTTTTTACAGATTTGTTGCATTTGATGTCAATCCTAGACTAATAAGGGATAGGCTTTATGACTGCGCACACATTATCTCTTTCTTGTCTTTAGTTTCCTTTTTATCAGGTAGAACTGTTCAGAAGGACACAAGAATGTATCGAAACTAAGTTTATTATCAATTTTAAACAATATTTTTCATTAGTAATCTTTCTTTGGCGTGAAACATTGTAAGTTTGAAGTTATTCTGGGTGCGATATAGGTTCCATAATTAATATTACGCCAACTTCTAAACAGTGACGGGTTTTTATGGCAACTCTAAAAACTGTTAGAGTCTTCTTTGCCAACAACATACAAACTTGTTTATTCCGAAAACGTATAATTTCTAAGCGTTCGGGAGAAATGCATTCCTAAGAGAAGGTTTCAACGATAACTTCGTTTTTCTAAGATCTTATCAGTTCTTTGGGCATTGGCTAAATACATAATAATAGTCTTAATGTGCATTTGTCATGTTGATTTTGTGGTCAGCATTGGTTTTCGTCCTTTTAATTATGAGAGTGGCGACAAGAAGGAATGTATTTGATGTTCTTTATAGTTTATATGAATAGCTTCGTGTTGTGGTTGGTATTGTGATGTGCAGTGATGCTTACATTTCAGATGTGTTGATTTAAACCTGACTTCAAAACGTGGAGTGTTCATCGGAAAATAGGTATTGTTGGTTAATCGTTTCATTATTTATCTGTTCGCATCCTAGTTACGTTATTTCCGTTACAATGTTGTCGCTTTATTTACTGCTGGCTATTTTTTTAGTGGCAGCGTATTATGTGAAATAAACCATAATGATGTTGAGATATTTACAAAACTCCGGACCGCAGGTGTATGTGGTGGGGCTGAACGCGCTATTACCCTTTCCGGAGGCTAACGCGTTGGCCACCACACCATGTGAGTCCTTCGTCTGTCCTTTCTCTTTTTGAACACATTAGCCCCGTAATGAGAGACAGGAGAAATGAAGGACACGTTTGGTGTGATGGTGAACGTGTTAAACCCCGGAAAGAGTAATAGCGTGTTCAGTCCCCACCGACACCAGTGGTCCGGAGTTTTGCTAATATCTCAGCATCATTATGGTTATTTTAGTTATTTATTCTTTGTACGAGGTTTTGTGCTGCTCCACTTCGCTCCATCATTTTTTAGAGGTTCACGGTGTTGTGGACAATTTTTAAAGTGGCATTTTAAACAGTCCTTTGTTAAATCTAGTCGTTTAGTAGCACTCTGTTGCTTTCTGTCTCGAGGGTTTCCTGCTTTTCATTTCAGAATCATTAAACAAGCAACCATTTCCTGTATCTTCTCAGTCAACAAAAATCACTAACGTTCATCCCATTTTTGTTAATAGGTAAATGATAAATATTTTTACGTTGAACATTTCATTTCTTTTCTTTTTGTTTTGAGGCTATTTTTTTTTTCGTGGTTGCATTCACTTCTTCGTAGGATTCCCACTCATGTTATTGTTTCATTGTTACTTTTAGACGTCCACCTCATCCTGCACAGTTGCACATTGTCACCTCCAAAACCTCTGTGTGTAATGGATTACGTTGTGATTCCATCGCACCATATTTTTCGCTTAAAGATTCTTTACATCGTTCAATTCATGTTCATAGAGCACCTGTGGGTTTGCGGAAGGGTGAAAAAGATGACCCGTTGAACGGAGGTTAGTTGTCTTCTGAAATACAGTGGTTCATATATTCATGAGACCTTGATTTTCTAATTATGATAAATTCTTTTCTTATGAACTTTTTTCAGCTCCAGTACATTCTTCTGAACAATTTTCACAAGTTTAATTACATACTAGTTGTTGATTTCAGTACTTTTGTGCTTTATATTTTTTTTTACTTCCAACTGCTAACCAGATCATGTACAGGTTCTAATACGGTTGTCCTTCGCTTCTACTTATTCGTTGAATGCTATGCATTTGTTCTCATTGTATTTTTCAGATTCTTCTTTTTACTATTTCAGTACTAAGCGTTGTATATTGCTTTCGCCTAGGATAGAGTCTCTATAGCAGTAGGAGTGAAGTAGTTTTGAAAGCATTCTAACCAACGTGTCTTATAAACGGCTTTTCTTCTGAATACTTTGTGATATTTTGGCATATTGAGTGGTGGGGTATGCTACTAAACTAGCTGTGAATCAGATGTGGTATCTAGATCTGGATCTGGAAAAGCAGATCCGTATATGAGGGAGGTTTACTTATGTAATGCGAATAAGAAAACAGTTGCTCATGTTTACATAATTGCGTACTCAGTTAATTTGTATCATACGAATGTTGGCCATTTTCTTTTATTTCCAGGAGCGTATTTTAGTTTGTGAATATCCTGTTCTGATCTTTTCTACTATGCTTTTATTGTTTGTAATTGATATACGTTCATTGTGCGATTGATATTTGTGATTTATACATATTTATACATTACATTCTATCTTAAGACGTCAGTCAGATTGAAATAAATATATACTATATTGTGACTAATACTAATAATTGTATCGGTATACTCACCTCGAATATTCTGGAAGTTCTTTCGTTCGTACAGTTTTCGACGATTAAGCCCGCGTTTAACCCAAATAGTAGGAATTTCTAAGACTTCACACACAGTGAAGAGGATATTACATCATCATTAAGATCATGTTTCGAGTTCCTTGTATTTTGTTGGTTTCCTGCTTAATTATGGAAACTATGTTCTCAAGAATTTAATTTAAAGACTAGATTCCCCCATTGACAGGTGATTGCTGATAGCACGGTTAAACAGAAAACTGGTTGAAAGAAAGGCAAAGCAAGGACCTCAATGGTTAAGTGAGTGACTGGTGAGCCAATCTAGTCTGGAGTCAAAGTTTTGCAAATATCTCGGAATCTTACTTGGATACTTGGATGCTTAGACGGTCCGTCTTCACGTGCTGTGCGGACGCCAGCACATATGCCATTCGTTCCTTTCGCTATCGTAGCCCATGGTGGTGGTCTTGTTCGAGCATGGGAGCGCGTGCGAGTCATACCATGATCTGTAAAACAACTGCATCTGCGGATACAGCTGATTAACTTTGTTTACGAACACGCTCGGTCGACGTGTAGGTGGTCAAAATGTCAGCATCATAGTGATTAAAAACTTACAGTTGAACAATTGGACAAAGATGTCCATATACATTAAAGAGGTACATAAGCTGCTAGAATTTTTTTTAGAGAATTGTTAAAGAAAAGTAGAAGATTTATACGAGCTAATACGATTCTAAGGAATTCAAAATGTATTCTTAAATGTTCACTTGCGATGGGGATTGGAAGGGAACGCATTATTTATGATATTTTCTTGAACGTGGCTTGTGTCTGAAGTCGCCTTTGGTGTTGGGGTGTGGTTGAGAGCAAAATCAATGCAACTGAGTTTTTATTAACCACCAACTTTTAGAATAAATCCATGGAGAAGGGTCTATTTTTTGAATAAAAAAGGTGAACAGCTCAGTAAAGTTTATTAGAACTTCTGCAGATTCTATTTAGTACTAATTTGAGCCAAGTGGGCTGGTTTCTGCGTTCCTTGTTTTTCGGTTGACCGTGGGTTTGTGGACGTACGTCATTGTTTCATACAAAGAATTGTGGTTGACAGTGCTCCAAATCTGCGTATGGTCGTCTTCGTACAAGTCGACAGTCGACGTTGAAGATTATTAGCTGGGATCTTACTTTCATTTTTATATACGGAGGTCATACGTAGGCGAAGAGACATGGTTTTCTAAAAGTCGAGAAGAGCAGTTCTAAAGACTTTTCTTAAAAGTAGTATCGTCAACATTTCTTGGATGGCTAGACCGATAATTTTCTTTCTGCACGTCGGTGTGGTTGAAAAAAAATACCAAGGAAATATTTCTAATTAGTGCCTTCACTGATCCGCTTAGTGAACTTTCCTAGTTAGCAACGGTTTAACTAATACATGGGATTGGATTACTATGCTGGATTATGAAGGTTTGGTAGTGAACTGACGAGGAATTTTAGACCTTACTAACAGTCATTGTATTTAAGAAGTTTGTGGTCCAGGATTTCTTCTCCCAACTTTTCTTCATCTGCTACCGCGTAAGGAATTGCTTTGCTATGCAATTACTATGAGGGAATGAGGTATCCATGACTTGAAATTATGACTATCTATGTACGTCATCCAACTTTTTTTTCGTGTTCGCTTCGTCATGGTCCTCTTTAATGAAGTCTATGAACTCTAACTTGGAATTATTCATTTCACTTCCAGTAATACAATGGTATCTCGAGTGATCGGACGCCTAAACCAGACGAATACGGCTTTCTTTGTTTGCGACATGCAAGAGCGGTTCAGGTAATGCTCGAGATTTCCTTTAGTTTTGCCCATAATTTTCTTTAGATATTTTGGCTAGTAAACTTCTCATCGGGAACAGTATGTCCGTTTCGGGTTAGGAACTGCTATATAACAAAGAGCGAAACTTATCTCCAGATGCGGTAGGACTATGTTGTACCATTTACTGAGCGTAGGTGGTTTCCTCCCAGTGAACTGGATATTTCAGAATCCATATGATGTCATCTATAGCACAGAAATTTTTCACAAGCTGGGGAAAAAGGACAAAATTTCTAGCCTCTGTACCGAAGTGTATTTTGTATTTCTATAAAGAAGTAAGCCATTCTGCAGTTACGCTTCTCTATTAGCGTAGTACAACATTATTTGCTTCGTTCTGGACGAGTGGTAGGCAGAAGTGATCAGTTTACGCCCCAGTTCCCTCTTATAGCATAAGTGTTGTAATGTTCGAAGAGAACATTCTGCGTTCACGAATTTGTTAATGTTTCAAGTGGGGGTTGTTATTCGTTTGTGATGAAATCAGTAAGAGCACGGAATAGGTGACCGAGAACTTCAACAACCATGTAATTATCTGCACCTTGGTGGAAATATTCGCTGATGAAGCCATTCTGCATTCGACTGAAAGAATATCTGTTAATTAACTAGTCATGATTATGGGGTATTGTTCACTATAGTGGCATTCAAAATGGACATCGAAAGTCGGTTTCGTCGTTTGCCAGTTGTAAACTAATGTTAAAAAGAAGTACCTATGCAGGATTTGTCGTTTTTGGACTTGGAGTAGTCCTGCGGTTGCAGAATACCTATGAGATTGGTGAATTTTCGGGAGGTGTGGTGAAGTCAATTTCAGTACGTGCTTTTCTGGCATTTACGAAGGTGCTCCAACTAAAACATAGGCCTAATGGTCTTTAGAGAGAGAATTAAGTTTTCTTTGCAACAGAGTGATGTAGAAGTTAAGCTAATTGGGGGCTACGAACTATGAAGTCTACAATGATGTATTCTAGTATTGGCTGTATTTTATTCTGTAGCTTGGAAGCGTCTTCTCGTACGTCAAGTTATAGCCGGAATGGTAGGGTTATGAGCAGCTATGGTTGTGTTTTTAAAAATTTCTAAGAACTGTCGATGTTGTTAGTGTTTTCATTCAGCAAGACAGTAAAATTCTTTCCCGCCATCGTACAGACAGCGAAACGGTTGGTCGACGCTGCTAGGATTCTTGAGATACCCATTATCGTCACCGAGCAGTACCCGAAAGGACTTGGACGGACCACTCCTGAATTGGGACTTGATGATATCAGGAAGTACGAGAAAACCAAAGTAAGACGAGCTTCTATGACAGCATTTTTGCTACGGCAGAAATATTGTGTTTACTGATTTGTGATGGTCTCAAACTTTTCTGAAGTTTTCTAATCTTACGTCACGATGTCACGTAGGGATGGCATGTTTTTAAATTTAATTAATCTATACATTAACTCATTTTTTGGAGTAACTGTCCATGCGTATGCCGGAAATGAGCGCGCGTGGCGAAGTGGTCGGAGGCGCCCTTCAGTGCACACGTGGGATCTGATCCCTGCTCCCGTGCCGTGGCTCACCAAGCCTTCCATCCCTCCAGAATCGGTAAATTGGTGCCAGACTTGTCTAGCAGGTTAGAAGCACGGGCTCCATACATCGATAGGCCACCGCGAGCCACTGTAAAGGCCAGGTATGCATTCGGTCGCCTCCAACGATGCTCAATAAAGTCGAACGCATGGCGCATCATTCAGGGATTGAGCATCGCCAAAAGCTTTATCCTTTATTTAGTATTTTATCGTTTTTAGTTGCTAGCCAAGGTTTCCTATCGGGGTTTACAAAGGACTACCTAGTACTATGTAGTTCCATTCTATGAAATGCTTGACGTGTAGGTTCCACTTTGTCAATCCATTGTTAAGGCCGTCGTACTTTCAGTTTTCGATGTGTGTACCGGAGTTAGATTCAATGCTAAATTCTACTGAGAACATAGTACTGGTTGGAATTGAAGCCCATGCATGCGTCCTTCAAACCACATTTGATCTTCTTGAGAAGGGAAAGAACGTACATGTGGTGGTGGATGCAGTGAGTTCGAGGTCTCTTACGGACAGGTGATTGATTTCCATATACCTTAGCGGTACTTTTTGTTCATTTTCCGGTGATATTTTAAAACTCGAATAGCTTTTGATTTGAAATAAGATGTTTTCTATATGAAGAAAACACACTTGTCATCGGATTTTAATCTTTAAATCTTCTTAATAGATATGTGCTCATTTCATCGGAACTTTTTGGATGTTTTCACACTAGCCGTAAGTTTTCTATTAAACTGACCAATAACAATTCTCCAGTATTTCATTTTGTTTCGTATAAGCGCAAAGCTGTGATGTTATATTATAAAGCCTCAGTTATTTAATTCCTCTCATCTATAAAAGAGTGATCTTCTTTAACGGAACCGGAAAAACTTCATCACTATCATGACGACGCGAGTCGTATGTATTCCATGCCTTCCCGAAAATAAGTGCACCTTTGAAATTTAGCAAATAACGCCCGATGCTTAATTAATTCCACATAGTTGTCGCGCGGGATGGAACCTAATCTTGTGAGTTACAGGCTCGCCTGCCATTCGCTGTCGGCGCATAATGGGTGTTCGGTAACCGGGCAACTGAGTGAGAGAATTGTAGAAGATATTTTAACCTCTCACAATAGGCATATACATGTGACACATTTACTAAACGTTAGTATGATAAGTCGTCAAACCACATTGCTATCAGCATCTGAAAGTGTTTCGCAAATTATTTTTAATGAAATCACTATGTTTAACCTTTGTTGTCCTCTTATTCTTTTGTAATACAATTACAAGGATGCTGAGATATGAGCAAAACTCAAAATCGCAGTTTGGATTCAAGCCTGCGATTACCTTTTCCAGAGACATACATGCTGTACACGGCACCAACCAGAGCTCCTGCTTTGCGTTTCTCTTAGCCATGTTTTTACTCTATTGATGCTATTAACATTTAGTCTTTAGCGGGATTGGCAGAAAGTCAAGGAAAAGGTGTGAACTGATGTGGTGGATTGCACATGAGCTCCAGGTAAGGGTAATGGTGGGTTCGAGGCCCTCCCGAAGTGCCGAATTTTGCTCACATCTTAACATCCTTGTGGTTGTATTTGACCTCATGCTCTGCTATAAAAAATTGGACGGTGAATAACAATTGAACATTGTAATTTCGACTGCTGCTCCTACTGAACTGGGTTCAATGCCGGTTTGCGCTCCTTATATCGTTGCCATTGACAGATGTTTGCTGACAGCACTGCTAGAAGAACAATTGGCTAAGAGAATACAAAGTAAAGGTCTTGGTTGGTGCGGGGGTAGCGCCTCAGCACCCGAAAAGAGTAATCGTAGGTTCTGAGGCCGACAGAAGTTTCGAGTTTTGTTCATGTCTTAGCATCCTTGTGGTTGTATTTCTGTAGAGTCTACTCCTGTATTCTTTATACCTACTCTTTCCGTACGATAACGTTAATTGATTATAGCAATTGAAAGTGAAATGATAGTCAGTTACCAGCCGGAAATGGAGCTTTAGATGTTTCACATAATGGACAATGCTGCTTTTCTATAGCTTCTGTAATTTTTGCAGTAACTAGAGGTCTTGGTTGATGGCTTAACAGATTAGTTGGCCAGACTACATTAGCAAAACTTATTCTATAATTATGAGGGTGTACATGCGAGAAGAAACTGGAGATATTGAGGACAATATGGTACCCTTTATTGTTTAATAATATATTACTTCAGTATCACTAGCTCCTCAATGACAGTGAATAAATAAATTCTTACGAACTTTTTTATAGCTGACATTTAAGTTGTTTTGAACGATGCGAACAAATATGCAATGTAGAAAGATGTAACTTCCACGTCCGACTTTCTATTAACCTCTGTATTGATTGAACAATTCTTTCCACTTCTGTTCAGCAATTCGGTATTAGAATTGGGACCGAGTTTCTCACCATCTGAACTCATTTCTAAGATAACCGTGCGTAGGGTCGCAAGTAGTTTGCATGAACTTCAAGATAGACTTCGCAAAAAGGCTAGAGACGAAGCGCGGAATAGGTGTGAACAACACTAAGTGGTGGCCCTGCCAATGGCACCATTTCCTCAGCCGTTCTTTAGACAACAAGAGCCCAATAATGAAGTTGATGTTAAATTTCAGATGTTTACGAATGAAACTCTCAAAGTCCTTAATCACTATCGCGCGAAGAGATACAGCTCAAACCTCACTGAAGTGCAAAATAATTCCCCATCAGTTGGATGTTGAGATAACGAAAAAGCATCTTGAAGATGCTTCGCTTTATCGCCCATCATCTGAGAAGGAGTTTAAAAGTAAATACCGAAAATTAAACCACGATTGGGTCAAAATGGCAAGGGCTGCTGGTTTAAAACCAACAGTTATCTAAACATAAACATAAACCAAATACCCCGATAGGCACGCATAGGACCCAGAGACATAACGGGGAGGACTTTGAAGTACGTGTCACGATCCTCGCGCAGGAAGCAAGAACACAAGCGCGCAAAACTCTTGAGGCGTTCTGGATTAATTCCAGAAATCCGAAAATGAACCGCAGGGAAGAATGCCTCATTATCACGCGTGATATAGGGCAGTATATAAGCCTGTTAGTTTGATGAGATGGGCACAATACGATTCCGTGTGAACTCTGTGCGGTTGGTCTCGACGTGACATTTTGAGTGGAAAACTCATAGAAAGCGGTGAGTGTGCAGAGCTGTGTTCAATGTGATTGAAATCTTGGTTTAACGTTTTCTTTGTTTGGTTATGAAGGTGTTTGTCCGAATGGGTTGCTGTCAACTTGGCCTTTCCAGGCTCTGAGGAAGGCGAAATCCGCCGAAACGTCAGCTTTTACGTGAGTGGAATAGCACCTCGTGTTTGCTGAACAGAAGTGGAAAGAATAGAAGGATGTGTTGCGTGAAGCGAGAAGTTTTGGCATCGCTATCTGCCTAAAGATGAGAATTGTTTTATTAGACTGTCACAGTTGAGTGATTATTGAAGCTCCAGTCCTGCTCTTTCATGCTATCCTATTCCATTCCACACTATGCTAAGAGATAGACTGAAAATCAAAAATGTATATTCTGTTGCAATGACTACTGATATAAAAGGGTAAAGGATAAAGCTCCTGACGTTGATCAACCCCTGAAGGATGCGCAATGCATTCGACTTCATTAAGCATCGTTTGGAGGTGATTGAATGTATATCTGGCCTTTACAATCACTCGCGGTGGCCTACCGTTATATCAAGCCAGTACTGCTATCCTCCCAGACAAGTCTGGTACCAGTTTGCCAACTCTGGAGGGATGGAAGGCTTGGTGGGCCATGGGCGCGGGGATCGATCCCACTTGTGTGCTGCAGGGGCCTTCCACCACTACGCCACATGGGCCCATTGACTACTGATTCGCTCTATTAATGATCTAGTTTTGTATAACCTCTCTTGTTCTTCATATCTAGCTGTTTTTATCGGAAAAATAGAGGTGGGTCTAGATATACATTCCTGCTGATTCGTGCTATATATTGACGAATCCGTTGTACCACTTCGATTAATGACAGATTTCGCGCATGTATCCCAAATAAGAGGCACAAACGCTACGTTAAGTTTTTCAGTTTGTGATCATGAGGTTTACAATCACAGGATTTTAGTGTACACAGGCAGCGATCCCTCTATAACTGTAAATGTTATTCAGTTTTAGTGAGCTGGCTTGTTCACGATTTTTTGAATTGGAGAGGTGTTACTAAACTGGTAATTGTTGTAGAGATCATGACTTGTCCTTGGGATCCTAACAAGAACCATCGCGTTGGTATCTAGGGAAAGAACGGGGAACTTTCTAACCAGATCATCAGGTCAGCAGGCTTGTTTTTGCAGTGTCACAAAAGCACTTATCAGAAACATGCACCGAATTAGGTTCAGATGGTGAGAAACTCGGCCCCAATCCTAATAACGAGCGCGCACCGTCATGGAGAGTTATGCCTCCTAACACGGTTAGCCTTGAATTTTCTTGCACATTACCTATACTATTGTGATCTGTTTGATGTTCCTTAGCGATATTTTTGTGCGCTATTAAAGTTGTGTTATGTGATTTACTCAAAAGGTCTTCGAATTTTCTCCGCAAAGTTACTTTAGCATTGGACCTAATAGAGTTACAAATCAGCACTGACCTACCCACTGTTCTCCTCCAGAGGCGGTCCTCCAAATATTAAGAACAAAAGTTTTCCTTCGTCTCGCACTTCTTCCACTTGGCGAACATCTGGTTTTGTCGGCATCGTAGACAGGTGCGTAGTATTCGCAATTCGACGTCCAATACTCGGTGACTGTCCTCTGGTAGACCGCATACGTCGTGTAGTCGTCTTCGTTTGATGAAGTTCGGAACGACTTGATGTTTTAGACAGCGGCGGAGAAAGTGCATTGACTGTCGAGCTAAGACGATCTTTTGTCTCAGTGACAGCGCTTCTTTTACAAGTCGGAAGTATCTCGCTGGTACATCTTGCAGTAACTGCCACGACCGACTTTCTATTAACCTCGGCATTGATCAAGTAATTTTCTTCGTATTTTTGTTGAGCAAACGCGAGGTGTTATTATTCTTTATTCACGAATAAGCTGACGTTTCGGCGGATTTCGCCTTCCTCAGAGCCTGGAAAGGTCAAGTTGACAGCAATCTACTCGGCTAGACGCCTCCATAACCCAACAAAGAAACTCTAAACCAAGATTTCAATCCTTTTGAGTAAATCACATAACACAATTTTAATAGCGCACAAAAATATCGCTAAGGAACATCAAACAGATCACAATAGTATAGGTAATGTGCAAGAAAATTCAAGGCTAACCGTGTTAGGAGGCATAACTCTCCCTGACGGTGCGCGCTCGTTATTAGAATTGGGGCCGAGTTTCTCACCATCTGAACCCATTTCTAAGATTACCTTGCGTAGGGTCGCATGTGGTTTACATGAACTTCAAGATAGACTCCGCAAAAAAGCTAGAGATGAAGCGCTAAATAGGTGCGAACAACATCAAGTGGGGGCCCTACCAATGGCACCATTTCCCCCGACGTTCTTTAGACAACAA